TTTTAGACCATAGTTAGTTTCAGACCAGAGTCTGACAGCGGGGGTGCTTTTGCAAGATGGAGTCTCTGGTGTTCTAAAAGGAAACCCTGCTGTCAAGGCGTCACTTCAGAATGATGACATGAATACGCACATTTTATCCCCAGCTGTTTTCCATCTGCAGTTGGTTGAGTCCACAGATACTGGAACTGTGGCTACAGGGGGGCCTCTGTGTCCAGTCTCCCCAGACGGCTCTCAGAAAGTTCTCTTCGCCTGGGAGTCCCCTGACCTTTCTCCACACAGTGTTGCGAACCCTCTCCCTGAGAGCATCTACGGGGGCTGTGGGGTTGATGGGATGCCACAGTGGAGAAGCAGAGACCCCAGGGGCTCCCAGTGAACAGCAACGGAGCTGAATGCACCAGCGGCCTCGTTCCCTTGTTCCAGTGCACATAAGTGACACTGAGGGATTTGCAGGGTTTTGCACAGCAGTATAATTGAAATTCAGTTGGGTTCAATTCTTTTAACCCCAAACTCAGGCTTAAAAAATCAGTCTCTCTGGACAGCGCCACAGCTCACTAAGCTAATCCTCCACCTGCGGTGCCAGCACCCCGGGTTCTAGTGCCGGTCGGGGTACCGGATTCTGTCCTGGTTGCCCCCCTTCCAGGCCAGCTCTCTGCTGTGGCCCAGGCGTGCAGTGGAGGATGGCCCAGGTGCTTGGGCCCTGCACCCCATGGGAGACCAGGAGAAGCACCTGGTTCCTGGCTTTGGACAGGCGCAGCACACTGGCTGTAGTGGCCATTGGGAGGTGAACCAACAGAAGGAAGACCTTTCTCTCTGTCTCTCTCACTGTCAAACTCTGCATGTCAAAAAAAAAAAAAAGTCTCTCAAAAATATGCTAAGATTTACTATTAAGTGCTGTTTTGCAGATGTTATTCCTAAGATTTATTATATTTGAGACATGATTAATCATGATTACTTAAAGACAGTCTAATGGTTCCTAAAAGGAGAAATATGTGCTACATTCCTTGCTGATTAAATTTATCAAGAAAGCTCAACCCTGGGGGGAAAAAAAGCTTCTGCTGTATGGAATTTAATAATTGCATCAAGTTTACCAATTACTTACCTATCCCCCACTGTTCACTCTCTGGCCTTGCCCTGTCCTGTTCATTCTCTCGCCTTGAATTTGGTAACTATCTGTGGAATGCAGTTATGAACTGGAAGATTCTAGCCCAACACCATCAAATAGCAGAAGATAATATCTCATGACTCAGTTTGAATAATTTTAAGGTTAGCACTTTTAAATATACATATATATATATAGAGAGAGAGAGAGACCTCCTTTAGATGGTGAGTGTTCACTGTTTCCAAGGAAACTAATGCTGTAAGGGTACGTCACAGAAGTACAGAAGTCATAAGAAACACTCTGCTTGGTTATAGGATCCTGTATATTCTAAATAGAAGTGCTAAAGATAAACATTTTCTAGTAGTACTAGTACTCACTGAGTTAGGTTACCAGTGATTTCTAACATCATCCTACCTTGTAACTAAGCAAATGGCTATGAGTGTTGCAGCAGTGTTACTACAGAAGTTGTGTTTGCTGTAGTGCCTATAAACCAGATAATTTTCTCACACCTGTATTGGATCCAGAAGGTTCTCAGTTGTGATCAGAATTGTCACAAGACCAAAGTCTTTTTGATAACAATCCCAAACTAATCTCCCCTGTGCTAGAGCCACAGAAAAGAAGCACCGTTCTAAAGCAGATGCTGGAAGTTGTCCCTCTTGATGGGTCTTACAGAAAGGGGAACTTAAGAAACGGGTTAGATGCAGGTGCAGGTGAGAGGGTCATTAAGGATAATTCCTCAGAAACTGACTGGGACCCCTAGGCGAACAGAGCTATCAATGAGTGGGGCTGAGCAGACCTGAGGAGAGGACTGGGTTCAGTCACTTTGAGGAGTTGAGGAAGGATTTTGCACCATGGATTACCTGGTGTCAGGGAGACACTGGATGTACGATTATGGACTCAGAAGAGAAACTTGTTGTAGAAACGCACAGGTGAGAGCTGTCAGCTCTGGATCCTGGCGGGCACCACGCGGATGTCTGGGGTTGACAGAAGGAAGAGGACAGGGGCCGAGGATGCTGCTGCGGCAACCCAGGGAGAGCAGGGGCAGCTGCCGAAAGCGAGGTCGCCTGCGCCCCTGCGTTCCAGGCTGCCTTGGTCTCCCTGAAGACACCCCACCCCATTCTCTAGACATTGTATGTCCAGGCCAGATAGGAGGGCGGCCATCATTCGCTGCGGGTAGCTTCAGGTGATGATAACTTCTTTTAACAACCACCCTTCAGCTCATACTAACCTTGCAGCCCATGCAACCCCTCAGACTTCCCAAAAGAGTGCTGCTAAGTCAGCTGCTTCTTTTACACTCAGTGATGATCCTTCATTATTCTTGCTATTGGAATCCCCATTGTTGTATTTATTGGTTCCCCCAATAAATCCATGGAGTCTGATTTCTAACACTTACAGATGTGTGGTCATGGGCAAGTTACTTAGCACTCTGGGCTTGCCATTTCCTGACCTGTAAACTGGAGATACTGTGGGATCCATGTCATAGGGTTGGTGAGGATGAAATGAGTTAATTCGTGGAAAGTGCTCAGAACCAACCCTGGCACGGAAGTGCTTAATAAACGCTGGTGGCCATGACCATCAACATCAGGGGTTCATGTGATGATTTTTCGAACAAGCTCACCTAACTAGCACGTGGCACAATGAAAACTATGGAATAAGGGCCAGCGCCGCGGCTCACTAGGCTAATCCTCCCCTTGCGGCGCCAGCATACCAGGTTCTAGTCCCGGTCGGGGCGCCGGATTCTGTCCCAGTTGCCCCTCTTCCAGGCCAGCTCTCTGCTGTGGCCCGGGAGTGCAGTGGAGGATGGCCCAAGTGCTTGGGCCCTGCACCCCATGGGAGACCAGGATAAGTACCTGGCTCCTACCTTCGGATCAGCGTGGTGCGCCGGCCGCAGCGCGCCGGCCACGGAGGCCATTGGAGGGTGAACCAACGGCAAAAGGAAGACCTTTCTCTCTGTCTCTCTCTCTCACTGTCCACTCTGCCTGTCAAAAAAAAAAAAAAAGGAAAAAACAAAACAAACAAAAAAAACTATGGAACACGACATGGGAACGTGGACAGAAGAACTGGTTTCAAACTGCAAGAAGAGCCAAGGACCCAAATGGGGAAGAGTAGAATAGAAGTGAGCAGAAAAGGGTGCCTGAGCCCTCTATTCCCACTTCAAACAGATTTCTTTCCTTTTATTGGTTTTGTGTATTCCATTTCTAGTAAAGTTCCATTTGAAGAAAAGATTCTTCTTTAGCTAAGAAAAAAAAAAAAAAGAATCCTGGCTGTGCTGCTAACTTGGGTAATGGCCTAGCCCTCAGCTAAAGTCAGATTCAGCAAAGTCTTGTTATGTAATGTGCAAGAGCACCTGCCATGTACCACTGGGGAAAAGGAATAAGCGTTTTCTGCTTCCAAGTGGTTCCTATTGCAATGGGAACATGTGCACACAGACCCCATGCCAGGCATGAGCCCTGTGCTATGGTTGGTCACCATCCAGAATACAGAAGGCTCCGTGGAGAAGGCAGCTTCGGGAGGCTAGCAGGCTCTCAAAAGGCAGAGAGATGTGGACAGCAGACCCTGGTAGCAGAAGTAGTGTTCACAGAGGGAGGGATATTGTGCCCATCCTCACAAATAATGAGCAGCGTCCATGCTACAGTCTGGTGCCACTGGCACAGGAAAGCAAGAGAAGGGAGCCAGCATGCTGCATACAGGAGTTGAGCCTCCATGCCAAGGCTCTGGAGCAAGAGTGACGTCATCAGAGCTGTGTTTTGAGAAGATGCGTGTGGCACCAGCACCCCTTGTAATGCGCTGTGCTGGACCGATTGGCAAGCTGTCAGAGGAAGCCCAAGGGATGCTGACACTCTGGGTTAGAAGGTCTCTGAACAGAATTGGCTCTCAGCATTCATCTTCAGGCTAGCTTCTTAGGGCAGATTGGGCCTTCTTATATTGTGTTACTTCTTTTTTGGAGGAATCTTTCTAAAGAGAAGAATTACAGCTCACACTGCTGCTGTGGGAGAGCATGCCTCTTTAAAGGGCATAACACACAGTGAGAGTTTCAGTGTTCGCCCGTGTGTGTGGGTCCCAGCACCTCGACATTCTCTGCCTGCAGAATTGAATGACAGCTCAGCCTGTCAAATTCGAGTGTGAGTGAAGTTCCTTGGATATTTATAAAACATCAAAAAGATAGAATCATGTCAGCAGAAGATAGGACTTTTTATTATTAAGTCACAATTCAATTTCTGGAGAGAGAGTTGCTGGCAACTCATCTGCGAGCTGAAAAGCCACGGTTTCAGCTTGGTGGTGCCACGAGGTGGTTCTCTCACCACTGCAATACCTGCAGCGGAAGTTGTAGTCCCAAGTTTGAGAGGCGAGCCAACATACAGCTTTAGTTTTTTAGTTTTATGATATATTAACTATCCATGATTTCAGGTTCCCCTGAGGAAATGGACGTTAGTCGTGCAAGTAAAGCAAGCCCTAGTCTCGATTGGTAATTGACGATCTGCTGGGTTTTAGCACCCTGGCCAGATAACCCTCGTTAAGCCTGCCAAATTGAGAGCTTGGATATTTTTCACGTGCAGCTCTCGGCCAGCCTAACTACGTCAGTATAAATAATCCTAAGAAAGTGCGTGTGCACACTAGTTTTATGAATTTGATAAACACGTTTAAAAGCCTGGTGGGTCGCAGTGCAGAAAGTCTGCCTGGACCGCTAACGGACGGCTTCCAGCGCGGACGCTGCCAAGTGCAGGTTGGCAGGCTGGAACCCCGCCTCCGTCGGAGATACCCGGAGCCGTCCGTCAAATATGCCCCGCCCCCCGGCCGCCCCTAGCGCCGTCCTCCGTCACGCAGGGCCCACCCCTAGCGTCATCCGACCCGCAGGCCCCGCCCCTGGCGCCGTGCTCTGACGTCACCGTCTGCGCCGCGCACAGAAGAAACAGGAAGTGGGACCAAAACAAAGGAGCGGCGGCCGGGAGCAGACCTACCTCATAGCCTCTCGGTTCCGCGCCCGGCCCTGGCCGCCGATCCTAAGGAGCGGTCTGACCATGTCCAACATGGAGAAACACCTGTTCAACCTAAAGTTTGCGGCCAAAGAACTGAGCAGGAGTGCCAAAAAATGCGATAAGGAGGAAAAGGCCGAAAAGGCCAAAATTAAAAAGGCCATTCAGAAGGGCAACATGGAAGTTGCGAGGATACACGCCGAAAATGCCATCCGCCAGAAGAACCAGGCGGTGAATTTCTTGAGAATGAGTGCGCGGGTGGATGCGGTGGCTGCCAGAGTCCAGTCGGCGGTGACGATGGGCAAGGTGACCAAGTCGATGGCCGGTGTGGTTAAGTCGATGGATGCGACATTGAAGACCATGAATCTGGAGAAGATCTCCGCCCTGATGGACAAATTCGAGCACCAGTTTGAGACGCTGGACGTCCAGACGCAGCAAATGGAAGACACGATGAGCAGCACGACGACGCTGACCACTCCCCAGAACCAAGTGGATATGCTACTCCAGGAAATGGCAGACGAGGCCGGTCTCGACCTCAACATGGAGCTGCCGCAGGGGCAGACGGGCTCTGTGGGCACGAGCGTGGCGTCGGCCGAGCAGGATGAACTGTCCCAGAGACTGGCCCGCCTTCGGGATCAAGTGTGAGGGCAGAACCGCTCCGAGGTTTCCTGGCTGTGGCCGCCGAGGGATACTCCACCCTGGAAACTCACCGTGCCAGAATGCTGACTTGCCCTTCTCCCTTTGGGTTTACAGCCCTCTCCGGATGTAATAAGAAAGTCCAGTCTTTTCGCAACTCTTAACTGGATTGCAAATTTCTGTATAGCTTGTGATGATGTGTATTTTTATAGCTGCCTTTTAACAACTAGTTAATTTGGTGTATATGGGTCTTTCTCGAAAATTTGGTCAGAGCTCTAGTTTCTGTGTGTTCAGTTTTCCACCCGTAAAATTATCAAACTGTAATTTAACTTAGTATGATTGACAATACCTGGAATGAGAGACAGCGTGTAAAAATTGGAGGGGAAATGATTAGTTTGGTTACGTGGCTATAACCCCCTCATTCAGTAATTGAATGGACAGTACTGTTTCTGTATGTCCTATTTATTTTTCCCCATCAAGAAACACTGCAATTGATCTGTTCTCATAACTTTTACTAAAATTATCTTAGGACTTCCGTGCATAATGCGTTCTGTTCACATTCTATAAATTTTTCATGTGCTAATTGTATAGCTTGAAAAATACCACAAAACTTCATTTGTTATCAGGAAAAATTTAATTTCATTTATATTTTCTGTTTACTACGGAGGGTTTTTTAAAAGACAGAAGGTTTAACACTGGATAGTTTGTTTCAAGCAAACCTAACCCGTTTCTAGTTGTTTTTCCCATTTCAAACTTTAGACTTATTACAAAGTGTGTTAATTAGCATGGCAGTCATATGACTCACTTCAGCATTGCCAAAGAACTGTTGATTGCTTTGGGGAAACCCTTGGGACTGTGTGTATTTAGGTTTTGTTTTGACTTTAATAACCAAAAGTAGAAATAAAATTAGAACTGCATTTTAAGTTCTAATTATTTGCATTTATTATTTTGTCTTAAAGCAACAACTCTTTAGGAGCCTTGATAATATAATTTGGAATGTTTTATCTAGCCATTCAGATCTTAAATATAAATGTAGCCAGCTGGAAGTCTGGGAAGAAGGAAGGGGGTAGAATTGGAAGGGCAAAGATGGGCTAGAACCCGGCTGTACCTGCTTTCTGTCATCCCAGGAATGTTGTGTGTGTTCTCTGGCTGAAGTACGAGGCACGTAGCCCCTACTTTCTCATAGCCTCAAAACATGGACAATAGCAACTTGCTTTTTGCCTTGGCGAGAATCCTTTATATTAACCTAAGCTCAGTTCAGTTCCCCCTTTTCTTCACTGGAAGATTTCTCCATAAGAGAATGCCACTCTTGCAGAAAGTAATTATAGGGATTCTTCGTGTTCCCTGCAAGATTCATAATCAGGTGTGTGCACCATTGTAACATGTTTTCCAGTGTGCTGAGTGTTTAGGAAAATAAAAAGTAACGTGTGCTGAGGAGGACCGACCTCTTGTGTGTGAGTTGTGTGATCTCTGCCTGGATGTTGTTCCGAAGTCTGCTTGAAGGGCCACCTGTTGATTGTGTGATTAGCATCTGCTCCACAAAGGCCCTGTAGAAGACGGTGTGTCTGTCCACCCGCAGGGCCATGTGACAGTACAGCAGGAGCCTTGACCCCTCTCTAGACTGAAAGAATTCATTACAGCCTCAAAGATAGCTTAGTGGGGAATCCTTTGGTAAATTTAAGTCCCTTTTATAATGCAGATATTCCCGACAAAATATATATATTTTGTGAGATTAAGCAATGCTTGTATATGCTTGAACTTTCTTAAAATGTTCACTTCATACTATATGAATGTACATTTTTACGAATCATAAATATTATTTTCAAAAGCATTACAGGCCCATGAATTATTTCCTCACTTTTGGAGTTGATAAAACCCTGAAATGTAAATCATAAATTTATCAAATAAATAATTTTAAACCTTATGTTATTGCATATGAGTGTGCATCCTATTTAAAGGGCTATTTAAGTATTCAGAGAAAGATTTAGTTTGGAAAACTTTGTGTTTTTCCAGACTGGCTCCCAGTCTTACTCCCAGAATTTGTGTTTGGTTTGCATGGGATTTTCGTGCCTATTCCTTGGAACCATGTCTGTTACATCCTAACCCTAATTGTTTCTTCATGACAGGAGTCTTACTGAAACTCCTCAAGGCCAAAGCATATGAAAGGTTCCAACTCTTAACGTTACCAGGAAATAGTGCTATTTTCCATGTAACTGCTAGTACTACTTTTAGTCATTTATCTTTTATTTTTCTACCCTCAAATGCACAATGTCTAATGTGAATTTAGAATTAATGGGGAATACTACAGCGGGGTGGTATACAAATTTAACTCCTTCACTTTCAGTTTATTCCAGTTCAGGAACCCACATGACCTCCGCTCTTTTTCTTCCTGAAGGAGTATCAGTTTACCTGTGTCTCCTTTAAACTCAGACACTTAGCCTACCTTGCTGCCTTTGATTTGGAAAGGACCCCTAAAGTAAGCACTAGCAACTGGTATGGAGGTCAGCCGGCCAATCACACGGTGAAGTGAGGATTTTGTGTGCAATACACACAGTACCCACTTGGGGGCAGTTCTGCAGCCAAGATTCAAAACTCAGGGCCTTTGGTACAACCAGCAAAAGGCTAGTGACCAAAAAAAAAAAAAAAATGAACAGGCTCTTGTAATTTTGTTTTTTAAATCAGCTGGCTGGAATTAAGCAAAATGCCTGCCTCGTGTTCCCGGCTGTGTTTTCTGCAACCATACTGTTAAGTTCCATAGGGAGGCCGATCGGTGTCTGCCTTGGTCTGGGCTCCTGGGCCTGGTACAGCACACAGTGGGCTGCTGGCAGTGTCTCCAGGACAGAGGCATCCTTGCCAAGGTGCTCTTGCTCAGGTGGTGCCCAGAACTCTGTGATGACAGCGGACGCAGGAAGGTGAAACCTGGGCTGAGCTGACCAGAGCCCCGAGGATGGACCCCTCACAGCATTCGTCCAGTGTTTCCCCCTGAGTGTGTACAGTCTCTCTCAGCTGAGTGGTGTGAGGATAATCAGCTCCACAGTGTTTACTCAGAATGAAAACAGTAAAAGATTTAAACCAGGATGTGTCAGGTGCCGGCTATGTGGGGCTTCTTTCTAGAAATAAAGAACATGTTTTGCCCTTAAATGACATTCAGTACAGTTAGGCAGACAACACGTACACACACAAAAAAAATGGATATGGGTGTGTTTTGTTGTAAAAGTTCATCAAATGAGCACTTTAGTGCACTGGACACATTATTGTATTTTACACCTCATCTTTTAAGAAGGGGCTGAATCACAGTATCAGGCAGCTCGCAGCACTGAGCACATCAGGAACCGGTACAGGGACAAAGGAACAGCGTGTCCACGGGAGGTAGCCGTGGCTTCTAGGAGCAGGCGGGGTACAATCTTGAGTTTCAGAGGGAAGCCTCAGGGTCTGAGAAGTGCAGACTGGGCAGGAGTGGGGGAGTTCGACGACGTAAGAGGGGAATGGAGAGACTGGACAGCCGGCAAAGAGCATGGAAGCCAGGTGGAAAGGGTGAACTTCCCCTGAGGAGGGAGGCAGGTGCAGCAGTCATCAGAAATGGTTGTCCACGTGGCCCAATCAGAGCACAGAGCAAGGCGTCCGGGGAAGGAGTTTGGGACTGGTCTGGGGATCTCATCCAGCCACAGACGCTGAGGCAGGGCCTGCAGCCAACGCCGCTCCTGCTGGTCTGAGAAGCCTCTTCTCGAAGCGGAGATCTTAACCCTGCCACACATTAGAACCACCTGGTAAAAGGCGGCTGCAAAAAGTTCATGGAAAATGAAGAGATAGGTTCATTTTGACACTAGCAAAATTTGAAATCCATGCATTCAAAAAACTCATGAAAAATGCATATTCTGAAAAAACAATGCCTGTATTTCAACATTTGCACCAAAATGAACTTATTGCTTTTTTTTTTCTTTTTTGAGAGGCAGAGTTAGAGAGGGGGAGACGGGGGTGGGGAAGAGAGAGAGATCTTCCATCTGCTGGTTCCCTCCCCAAATGGCTGCAGTGGCCACTGCTGGGCCAGGCCAAAGCCAGGAGCCTGGAGCTTCTTCTGGGTCTCCCACGTGGGTAGCAGGGGCACCAGTGTTTGGGCCATCCTCCACTGCTTTCCCAGGCCATCAGCAGGGATCTGGATCAGAAGTGCAGCAGCCAGGACTCCAGCCAGCATCCATATGGGATGCCGGCATTGCAGGCAGTGGTTTTACCTGCTACACCACAGCACGGGCCCGAACTTATCTTTTAACTCTGTTTCCACATACTCTTTGAAGTATTCATACGCTTTATCACTACTTGGGTGATATTTGTCTCCACCAATATTTTTATATCGTGTAGATGAGTATCATGAATTAAATTTCAACAACACAGTAAGAAAAACTTTTTACTCGCCTTGACAGAATTCTAACTTGCCACGTATTTTCACCATAGAAATCAAGTATATCTCAATTAAATGTAGTTGGTGCTTTTCCTCACATCCAGGAGTGTGAGTATAGAGGCCTTTAGCAGAATTGTTTTCATCTTTAACTGACTTTCCTTGTGCCCTCTTCATAGCCTATTCCCTGGTCATAAGAATTCTGTGACTTTGGATTATTTTAGTAGGGAAAAAGACAACAAATGGGATTAAAAAAACATGAACGGCATGGTTTTGGGTTTGTTTTATCAATGCCAAGCAGAAGAGGGATCTAAATGATGAGAATAAAAACATTTCTTCAGGGCAGGAGTGGTAACACAGCTGGCTGAGCCACCACTTGGGATGGCTGCATCTCATGTCAGTGCCTGCTTCAAGTCCCGCCTCTCCTGCCTCCGCTTCCAACCCAACTCCCTGGGATGGCAGTAGATGTGTCTGGGAGGCAATAGATGATGGCCAAGTACTCGGTTCCTGCCACCCCGTAGGAGACCTGGATGGAATTCCTGGCCCCTGGCTTCAGCCTGGCCCAGCCCTAGGTGTTTGGGGCATTTAGGGAGTGAACCAGCAGATGAAAGATTTATCTTTTTCTCTCCCTCTCTCTCTCTCTCTCTCTCTCCCTCAGCCTTTCATATACATTTTTAGAAAGAATATCTACAAATATGAACATCCCCAGCTATGACAGGAAATAATGGGAAAATCAGAATAAAAATTGTTTCTGGCTACTGTAATTTGTTGCATCCATAATGCGAGGGGTTTGTTACCACTGTAGTTTGGTGTTGCTGGGAATTCTTAGCTCTGCTTAATTTTTCTGCTTAGCCTGCAGGGGCATATTTAAGGAGACTGCATTTAACCTTGAAACTGTAGTCATATGGAAAATTCTGGAAGACTTTTAAAATTCATCTCTAGATATGCAATCTTAGGAGCTTCAGTTTGAAGAAGCACTTTTACGACATGCTTGGAAATATGCCAGTTGAACAAAGATCAAGGTGGAAGACTGGCAGAAGTCTACTGCTGTATTCTGTTTTTTTGGTTTTTTTTTTTTTTTTTTTTTTTTTAATTTGAAAGGTGGATAGACAGAGCTCCCATCTGTTTGTTCACAATGGCTAAGACTAGGCCAAGCGAAAGCCAGGAGCCCAGAACTCAAGCCAAGTGCCCCATGAAGGTAGCAGGAACCCAGGTACTTGGTCCTAGGAGGTCTACACCAGCAAGAAGCCAGAATTGGAAGCTAGAACTGGGACCAAAGCCCAGGCACTCCAGTATGGGACACTAGTATCCCAACCACCAGGCCCAACACCCACCCTGCCACCACCTACCTTCTTTATTCCATAATGTCTTTAAAGAACTGGGGCGGGGATTGGTGTGGCACTTTCACATTCAAGGGTGAATTTTCACATTTTATTCGCATGGCGCAAACCTGAACTCCACAAACTCAGTATATACAGCACCAGCAGCCATTCCAAACGCACTCTTGGAAATGCTCCATGAGGCCTCCCAGAGTGTCCCAGAGGCTGGGAAGCAAGGGTCACAATCTGCATGACAGCCATCCTGGAGATTAGGGGTGGGGAGAGGCTGCCACCTCTCCTTTGTCATCACAGCTCAGAGTCACTTCTCTTTGATAGCCTGCAAAAAGAGACTCCCACCAGTTCTTTTGGAAGGCAGCCTTTAATCAAGCACTTCAGAAGTATTTTTTGTTAACCATCCCTCATTTTTTCCAACCTAAACTAGTTATTACCATATGAATAACTTCGCCCACCTACCTCTACCCTATGTGCATCCAAGTTTAAATTGGTTGCTTTCTAAATTCTAACTATAGCCCCAGGCTTCATTGTCAGTTATTAGTTCCCTCCGGCCCTGCTCATTACGGCTGACTTGTTTCTGTCCCACACGCTCAGTACTCTCGTCTCCTGTCCAGAGGGTGGACCATCTCTGAATCAAATTGCTGCAGTACACGTGGCACAGGGGACGTGCTTTCTCGCCCCTGGAAACCAGCCTGCGGGCCCAGCCAGACTGCAGCTGCCTTGTCGCTGCTGCAGAAGCCTCTCTGTCTTCATCAGAGACTCCTTCCCCACGAGCTGCTCAGGAACCGTCTGTCCTGCCCTGGAGCTCTCCACTCCACCAAATTCTGAGCCCCCAGCCACCCTGGAGGTTCCAAACAGAGCCTAGCTGCAAGGACGGGGCCCCACCCTCCCTCCAGCTTCCCAGATGTCCCTCCCTGGGGCATTTCTAGCACTGCTGCTGCTGCTCCTTGGAGCCAGCTCCACACTCCTTCTTCATTCAGGTAGGGACACTGGCACCTGCCAAGGTTTCCAGTGCCTCTTCCAAAGAGATCACCAGCAGATCGGGGGTGGGGGGGGGGAGTGGTCCTTGGGCTTCTCCATGGCCCATTCACATGACAGACAGAGCAGTCGCCAACACAGGCAGGCATAGCCTTCCCACCTCGGAAATGACCGCAGCCCTGCCTTGTGAGGCCACCACCGCTTCCTGTCCCCTGAAAAACCATCACTCACACTGCGGATCCATGCCTGCCCAGTTCCGCTTGTGGTTCACCTGCCGTGGGGGCGGCTCTCGATGCAGCCCTGAGGCAGGTTTTGTGCCAAAGCAATGGTATGGGGATGGAAGCCGCGGGAATGCCACGCCCCTCACTGGACCCTCCTCGAAGGCTGTCTTTAGCCTCCCAAAAGGAAGAGTTCATCGGGACTTGGGCCCAGCGCTTCATTAAATGGCCGCGTTTGCTCCTGTAGAGGAAGAAGGGAGCTTCCTCCACTGTCTTGGAATCTGTGGAATGAGAGGCCCAGGACAGGTCACTAAGAAAAAGCACTCAGCTTGCACTTCCTAGTTCTTTGGGAGCCTTTGTAAGAAAAATGGAAACCAGAGCAGCATCCAGGCCTCAGAGCTGTGTACCTTTCTAATAACAAGGGTGAACTGTGGAAGAGGAAGAGTGGGGTAGAATCGGCGAAGCTTCTAGGGGCAGGACCGGGGCGGGGCAGTGACGAGGCAGTGTGTGTGGGGGGGGGAGCAGGTGCACTGTTTAAGGAGACTTTAAACAGGTCCCTTTGGTGATAAGAACTCACTCTGTCCAAGGACTTGGGGACACCTGCAAAGGCATCAGCTCACAAGGACTGGCAGGTGAGGCAGCAGATGCGGGGTGGATACTCTGAGTCCCTCCACCTCTCCCATATGCCTGCTGAAGTGTCGCAGGAACCTGCAGATTCCGGGGGCACCCCCTCTGCTGTGCAGAAGGCCTGCAGGCCCAGGGCTAGGGGAGCGCACGGCTGCCTTCAGTCCCATGCGCAGGCAGGGTGGGTGGTCGGCTGCATCCCCCACCCCTGGTCTGTTCACACCAGCTGCCTGCACCCCTGGCTGTCTCCTCTTCTGTCCAGGAGCCTCTGCCGCCCCTCTCTCCCCAAAAGTGTCCTTTGCTCGCTAGTGAGCCAGTTCCTTGCGCTTCCATCTTGAAATCCTCCCTTGTGTCTGCTGTGGGCTGGGCCTTGCAGCCGTGGGATGGGCAAGACAGGCCATTCTTCATTCCACAATATTTTCTCGGGCCAGCGCTTGCACCAGGTGCCAGGACGTGACAGCCAACAGGACAAAGACCTGCCGTGTGGGCCTGGCTTTCTGGTGGAAGAGACAGAACATAACAGATCCACGAGCAGCCGTGCAACATGTCGGGGTGTGGTAGTGCTTTGTGGGACGACACAGCCAGGCTGGCACAGTGATTGCAGGGACACCTGCTTGAGATAGGTGGGCAGGGAGGGCTTCCCAGGAGGCCAGGTGCAATGTCCACCTCAGTGGAGAGGGGAGGGAGAGCCTTGCCTGCAGCCTCTGAGTGGGAAGAGAGCCCTGTGTCAGTTCATTTGCGGCTGTCCCAAGAAGTCCTGCCACTCAGCTTGCTTCTCCCACCTTTGATTTTGTGACACAGATCAGATTGCTGGGAACACAGATCAGATTGCTGGGATCAGACGTAACCCTGATGACCTCATCAAGTGTGAGAACATGCACACTCACATAGCTATACACATACAATCACACACAGTCGCACTCACACACATGCATGCACACTTGCACATACAACACACACACATTACCCACAGTCCTACAGACAGCCAGATGCACTGCCACACAGCTACACTCACTTGCAGCCAGATGCTCACACAGTCACACACACTCGCACACAGTCATACACACACCCAATCATATAGAACACAACTTTGGCTAAGGCCCATTTGTCACTTCCTTGTTGAATTTGCATCGCAACACCTTCTTGTACTAGAGTAGCCTTGGAAGGGAGGCCTCTAGCCCCCTCCCCAATTTCTCAGCAACCCCCAACCCCAAGCCCATGGGAGTGGGCAAGAGGGAAGGCACATGCGAAATAGATGTCGGCATGGATACACATGTCTGTACAGAGGGTCAGTCCATTTGGCCTCAGTTGGCAGTGATGTGCCACCCAGACAGATGCTTACCCAGGAGAGAAGGGAAGCCCCCAGTCTCCACTGCGCTTAGGTGAATGGTCCATCAGCTACCCCGCCTGGGAGAAAGGGATCACAAACCCCATCTGAACTCATGCTGGCTTTTTCCACAGCTTCCTGGAACGGATTGACAGCGTCAGCCTGGTTGACTACACGCCCACGGACCAGGTAGGAGACATCAGAGCCTGCCTCACTCCTTGGAAACTTTGCAGATTGACTTCCGGGTTGTTTTTTGTTTTTTTTTTTTTTTTTTTTGCGATTATTAAAAATCCTGGAAGTGACTACTTCCTGCCAATCACTGCTGTGCCCCGCCAGTGTCCATGGTGTGTTAGCTCCTTAGTGGTGCCCCCACCACTAAGCCTGTGGCTCGCTAGCCTGGAGATCCTTCATCTGCAGATTGGGAATGTTCAGCGCCTGTGTCGACTTGGAAAGCTAAACCTTCCCTCCCCAGCTGCACAAATGGCACCCGTTCTGCTTCTGACCCTGGTGCAGGGCTGCACATAACGCAAGCCACTTTCTGGGTTGCTCCAGAGTGACTCCTTGGGGCTGAGCCACTGCAGAGCACCCAGCTGCACATTTGTAAAGGAGTAGAGAGGGACTCTGTGCCCTTTTGACCCAAGGGCATCTGCAAACACTTGGAGAGCCCTGGGCTGCTGAGCTCAGGATTCCCCGGCTGCTTGTAGGGCTAGCAACCTCCACACAGCCCTGGTGGAAGATGATGTGACAGCCGTGGGGACCTGCTAGTCTGGAATCAGTCCCTCAGGGCTGTCCCTTATTATGTTGAAACAACAGAGTGGCTGCCTGACAGATACCAGAGAGGATTTGGTGGCCAGGAAAAGACCTGGACATGTACCGAGGTGTCAGCTTTGTGCCTTTCTCATCCCCTTGGGAACATAACACCCTTAATCTTAGAGAAAACAGCAATAGTCAGAGAAGAGGGGGTAAACCTAAGATCCAGTACATTTAGTCCGTGAGAGCAGTTTGATTAATGAATGCACAGTCACACTCGCCCTGGGCTCGCCCTGTGTCCCAGCAGGAGGCTCCCAGTTGTGGCAACAGAACTTGGCAGGTTTTCTCCCAGGAGTACTAAGCGCTGTGGTTTGGTTGTCAGGCGGCTGACAGTCAGCAGGTGCATTCATTAATAGTAGTAATGGTAATGATAATGAGGGTCTAAAGGAAAATAAAAGCATAGTTACCAAGTCTCTGAGGACCAAGCCAACACATCAGGATTTCCCTGGTGGATGAGACAGCATTCACTTGAGTTTTTAATTCCTATTGTTTGTTTTTTCTTACAATGGGAGAAGTGGTCATTTGAAACCTGCGAAGCTCATGACTTCCCAGGAGAAATGACAAGTACCTAACTCTGCTTCCTTCCCTGGCCCCCAGGACCTCCTCAGATGCAGGGTTCTGACCTCGGGGATTTTCGAGACACGATTCCAAGTGGACAAAGTGAACTTCCAGTGAGTATGAGCTCGAGACTGTGGCCTGCTGCAGGAATGCTGGGCGTGGAGCCCCAGGACCCAGCCCAGAGCCCGCCCTCATGGCCTTGGGGTGCCAGGGGCTCAGCCTCAGAGAGGGCAGCCCTGTCCCCTCAGGGGAGGTGACCAAGGCTTGAAAGGCTGGGTTTTACGACTCACTTAACAGTAGAAACGACAGGGCCTGAAAGGAAACCCGTGTTTCCACGCTAGCTGTTGATGTCGTTGCCCCACCCCTTTTAAATAATTTTTAAATTTTTTAAAAGATTTATTTATTTATTTGAAAGACAGTTACAGAGAGAGAGAGACAGAGAGAGAAGTCCTCCATCTGATGGTTCATTCCCCAAATGGACACAACAGCCGGAACTGAGCCAATCTGAAGCCAGGAGCCTCCTCTGGGTCTCCCATGAGGGTGCAGGGGCTCAAGGACTTGGGCCATCCTTCGCTGCTTTCCCAGGCTCATTAGCAAAGGAGGTGGATCAAAAGTGGAGCAGCTGGGACTTGAACTGGCACCCAATTGGGATGCCAGTGCTACAAACCAGGTCTTTAACCCGTTGGTGCCACAGCACCAGCCCTTTGTTGGCCTTTTTAAAAAGTCATTTGAGAGAGACACTGATATGCCACCTCCTGGCTCACCCCTCCAAAAGTCCACAGCAGCAGGGGCTGAGCCAGGGCCAAAGCTGAGAGGCAGGAACACAGTTCAGGTCTCCCAAACGGGCAGTAAGGATCGAACTACTTCAGCCATCACTGCTGCCTTCCAGGTCTACATGAGCTCCTGAAGCTGGAGTTAGGAGCCAGAGCCGGAGAACGAACCCAGGCACTCCAGGACTGGGCGTGGGCAACCTAGCTGCTAGCCAAACACCTGCCTTGTGATGACTGGTCCTTTTATTAGAGCAGAGGCCTCTCCAAATGAGCTCTCCCAGCGTCTGGCCTTCAAGGTTCACGGTCACAGCTTGAGAACGGGAGGCACGATTTCTTCCTGTCTGCCGAGGGCTCTCCTGGGCGCCCCAAGCCGCAGCATCACTGAATAACCCTTCTCCTTCGTTTTTCTCCTCAGTGACATTAATTCTCCCCTATAAAGGCTTGTGAATTGAGGGCTTGTTTCTCATTTCTCTCCCAAAGCTGTGACCCGTGCCCTCCATTCCTGCCCACCCACACTGTCCTAGCGGTGTGCAGGAGGGTCTCCCGTGGCCTGTTTGCTCATTCCACTCTGGCCCACTCACTGCCGTGAAATGAGCTCTCGCACAGCATAGCTCCCTCTGCTGAGGGAGGCTCAGCAGCCCACAGCTGCCTCTGCTCCCTAAAACCCAGACCCTGCCCAACTCAATATGACCTGGCCTCTCCTCTCTGCTTCCTGCTCCCTGCCGCTGCCTGCCTCGCCAGGTTGGACTTAGTGAGCTCGAAGCTGTGTGGTCCTGCCTTCCCCAGTGCCTTTGCTCATCCCATCCTCTGAGCTCCAGGTGCCACCAGAGCTAAGCAGAGCTGCAGATCTGTCAGAGCTTCTCAGCTCAGGATTTCTGTGGCACCTGGTGGATTCTGTGGCACAGCCATGAGTCTCTACACCACACAGTGCACTACCAAGCTGGTGTGGATGATTGCTTTGCACATATCAAAACCAAGTCCCGGGCACAGTGGAATTTTTGCCAATCAAGTCTTACCCTACAGTCATGCTTCTGTTTAAAAGTATTCACTGAGATGGGCGTGGATCCTTGGCGGTTGCAATGCCAATTAGGACACCTGCATCCCACACCAGAGTACCTGGGTGTGACTCCCAGCTCCAGCTCCTGACTCCAGCTTCCTGCTGATGCAGACCCTGGGAGGCAGTGGTGATGGCTCAAGTGACTCGGTTCCTGACACCCACATGGGAGACCTGGATTGAGTCCCCAGCTCCCAGATTCTGCCACCAGCTATCACCAGCATTTGGGGAGTGAACTAGTGGATGGGAGCGCTCTTTCTCTCTGCCACTTGAATAACTGAATAAGAAATGTTTTTAAAGTATTCACTAATCACCACAGATGTTGCATCAAGCGCCTGGCAGAGCCCTCCATGCTCTCATGCAAAGCATACAGACAAGCAAATAGAGGCTGTGGGGGTCTGTGAACTGCACGCATGCAAGTTTGAGCAGGGAGGGAGCTCAGAGCCAGATGTGCCTTGGAAGGGTTGGGGGAGTATGGATAGGTGCAGAGAAACTCCCCTAGGGACAGCAGCCCAGGAAGCGGTGCAGGCAGCTATGAAAAGAGGGTCTGGAGCCAGCCTGATGAGTGAGAGAAACCCAGAGGAAAATGGTGTGGCCACCATGGCTGGGCAAGACTGGGAGAGCCCGGGGCTAAAGCCCAGAGGTCTGCGCCAAATTGGGAAGGCAAGAGAAACCCCCTGCAGCTCTCTGGGCAGAGGTGGGTGGTACCCAAGAGGTAGATGCAGACGGGTCCCCAGGAAGCCTTGCTCAGTGCTGCAGGTGACAAGGTGCACAGGTGAGTGGAGGTCAGACACAGGGTCCTGAGAGTGGGGACAAGTCACAGCATCTGCCCCTGACAGGGACTTGCCTTGCACTAATAGAGGCCCCAGTGTCTGAGCCACAGGTGATATCAAGTGGAAATTGGTGCATTTATTACGCACCCTGTGTGTCTCAGATTCTGTGCCAGCCACTCTCACCCCTGGACCCTGTAGGATGACAGAGAAGGGGCTAAGACTGGGAGGAGCTGCAGAACCTGCAACCAAAGATCTTGCAGCCAGAGCCAGAGCCCTCTAAGAGCCAAGGAGGAAAGCAAAACCATGTGCTGTGGGCTCTCAGGTCCCCCAAGTAATTGTCTTCCTCTCGCTCTTTCACAGTATGTTCGATGTTGGTGGCCAGCGGGATGAGAGAAGAAAATGGATCCAGTGCTTCAATGGTGATCTGATGCCCTTGGGACAATGGGGGTGAACGCTAGCACTCACATTGCCCCTGGGTCTGCCCAGCTTTGAACTTGGCCATCTCTAGCCCAGCTAGTGCGTGAAGTAGAGCAACTGTGCTCCTTCTGTAATTTGTTGTGTCCCATCATCTCAGATATAGGACACTCATAAAACTTACACTGAGCAGTAAGTATGTCATTTATAGTAACTTTGCGCCCATTTCAGCTATACCAAAACAGTCACAGAACTGAAAACTTAGGTCTTGACCGATTAATATGAATCTCATGAATAAAAAATGTCAGCATCCCAAATGCACAGTTGTCTTGGGGGCTCCTCGCTGTGTAGACAACCAAAGGTACAGGCCACATCCACGTCACCCCAGCAGGTCACGGCAGGATGTCGTCGAGTGGCCCTGGGCCGCTGTCGGCTCTGCGCTTGGCCTTCACCCCACAGTGGCCACCTCTGTCTAACTGGGGTGCTTCCTCTCTCCTCCCCTCCCCTGCTCAGACGTCACCGCCATCATCTACGTGGCTGCCTGCAGCAGCTACAACATGGTGATCCGTGAAGACAACAACACCAACAGGCTGAGGGAGTCCCTGGACCTCTTCGAGAGCATCTGGAACAACAGGTCACAAAGCTCACCCCGGGCTTGCAGGGCTCCTTTTGTTGAAGAGGGGTTCACTCCGTGTTTACTCTCCTCACTGACCAGTTAGCCCATCCAGCACCGAGACATCCATCACACGGGGATTACTCCTCTGTGAAGCCTGACAGGCTCTGGGTTCGAAATTTAAATCTGTTTTGAAAGCCTACAACTATATCTCGGGTCCAAAATTGGTTTTTGTTTCCAAGGCTTAGTTTAGAGCGTCCACTGATACTTAGTTGACCCCTAGGAGTCCCTTACAGGGCAAGCGTTTGGGGCATCCGTTAAGGAGCTGCTTGGCGTGCCTGATCCCGTGTTGGGGTGCTGGGTTTGAGTCCCAGCTCCACTGCAAATTCCAGCTTCCTGCTAATGCACACCCTGGGAGGCAGCAGGTGATGGCTCGGGCAGTTGGGTCCCTACCACCACATGGGAGACCTGGACTGAGTGTCAGGCACCTGGCTTCAGCCTGGCCCAGCTCTAGTGTTGCAGGCATTTCAGATGAGCCAGCAGATGGGAGCTTGCTCGCTCTTTCTCTCTCTCCCTCAAAATAAACATTTTTTAAAGATTTATTTATTTGAAAGTTCCTGAGAGAGAAGGAGAAATGTTCCTTCTGCTGGTTCACTCCCCAGATGGCCACAATGGCCCAAGCAGGAGCCAGGACGCCATCCAAGTGTCCCACGTGGGTGGCAGGTTTCCAGGTGTTTGAGTCGTCTTTCACTGCCTTCCCAGGTGCATTAGCAGGAAGCTGGATCAGAGTGGAGCAGCTGGGACTCAGACCAGCACTCGTATGGGATGCCAGTGTCACAGGCAGCAGTTTAACTGCACCACAGTGCTGGCCCCTTAATAATTAAAAAAAAAATCCTTGAACAAAAATCAAAGCGTAATCATGTTTGGAACTGCTGGTATTAAGTGACAAAAGTGGTTATTTTCAGAAAGAAACATCTAACAACTAACTACATGCAATACACACAAACACCATGTATCTTTTGAAGCATTTAGGAAGAAATATACCCAAAGAGGACAGGAAATAGAAGCTAAATGTTAGACCAAGCCAGCCAGGAATGCAGCTCTAGGCCTTTAGCTAAGGACTCCTGCGTTTTGTTGTTGTTGTTGTTGTTGCTATGCTGTTTTTAATACTTTCATTTCTAGCATTAGAGGTCCTGTGGCCCCTTATTATTAAATTACACCCCACACATCCAAGTGTAAAGGGGAGGGCATTTGGCCCAGCGCTTAAAACACCAGTTAGAATGTCTACATCCCATATTGGAGTCTGGGCTTGAGTCCTGACTGCACTCAAAAAAAAAAGTTTACATGTTTATTTGAAACCAAAGTGGGTGAGAGAGAGAAAGAGAGATGTTCCATCTGCTGTTTCACTCCCCAAATGGCCATGATGACCAGCTGGGCCAGGCCAAAGCCAGGAGCAGGAACTCTCTCTGAGACTCCCACGTGGGTGGCAGGGACCCAAGCACTTGTGCCATCTTCTGCTGCTCTCCCAGGTACATTAGCAGGGAGCCAGATGAGCAGCAGAGCAGGCAGGACTTGAACCAGAACTTCAGTATGGGACACAGGCATGGCCAGTGATGGTGTGCCCCATGGCTGTGCCCCATGGCTGAACTTCTTGGGTTTGTTTGTTTGTTTGTTTTTATATTTCTTTGAAAGGCAGAGTTACAGAGAAAGAGAGGGAGAGAGAGAAAGCAAAATCTTCCATCCATTCGTTCACTCCCCAAATGGCTGCAACAGCCGGAGCTGGGCCAATCTGAAGCCAAGAGCCAGCAGCCTCTCTGGGTCTCCCATATGGGTGCCGGGGCCCAAACACTTAGGCCATCTTCCACTGCTTTCCTAGGTGTATTAGCAGGGAGTTGGATTGGAAGTGGAGCAGCTGGGACTTGAACCGGTGCCCATTTGGGATTTACCAGCTACACCACAGCGCCAGCCCCATGGCTCTACTTCTGATTCCAACTTCCTGATAATGCACACCCTGGGAGGTATCAGATGAGTCCCTGCTACCATATGAGAGACCTGGATTGAGTTCCAGCCTCCCTGCTCTGTTTCTAGCTGTTGAGAGCACTGGAGAAGTGAACCAACAGATGGAAGTTCTTGTATACATAATTTAAAAACTTTTTAGTACAAGTATATTATTCCATAACCATATCTTATCGTTGGAACCAATAAATGTATTTCCCCAATGGAAATGAGTTAGACAATGCCCAAGAGCCCCAGGAACTTCCTGCACTTGCTTTTCGTTGCTTACAGATGGAATGGGGATGCAGGTCGCCACCCACTGCTAAGTCCTGTACATTTCCAGGAGGACAACAACGTTTCCTTGTAATTTAGCACCTTCTATATTAGAGGCACTTTCAGATATGGGCATGTGTGAAATGTGTGGGCTTTTTCTCCTTTTTTAGATGGTTACGGACCATTTCTATCATCCTGTTCTTGAACAAACAAGATATGCTGGCAGAAAAAGTCTTGGCAGGGAAATCAAAAATCGAAGACTATTTCCCAGAGTACGCAAACTACACTGTTCCTGAAGATGGTGAGTTGTCAGAACACTGTTCCTGGGGTAGAGGAGTAGAAGTGTTCCTAATAGATCTGTAACTATACTCCGCATACTTCTGATGAATCAAAGACACACCTTTAGTTTAAATCAGTCCTCCCTCCTACTGCCCCAGTGTAAAGTGCCAGAGTCCTGGATGGGTGTCCCTTTTCTGAAATGCTTTAGGGCCAGAAATGGTTTTGCTTTCAGAATTTTTTCGGATCTTGCAATAGTGACATACACATAAAGTGCCATCTTGAGCATGGGGCCTAAGCATAAAATTCATTTCTGTGTCGTATACACCTGTGCATACAGGTGATTTTGTACAATGCTGTTTGTGCACCTGCGTTTTGATTGTGAGGTCAGGTGTAGAATTTTCCACCTGTGCTGTCATGTAAGAGCTCAAAAAGTTTTGGATTCTGGAGCGTTTCAGAGTTGGGGTTTTTGGAATTCTGAGGCTCTACCTATTTGGGCTCCCACTTGTAAATGTTTTGTAATCTGACTTTCCCCTCAAACTGCAACAGAAGGGCAGGCTGTTGGGGGTTTGACTGTCATCTGCCTGGACGAGTTCTCCACCGTGCTGCCTCCGATAGGGTCTGCTGTGATGAGCCCTTGTTGGCCCTTTGCAGGGACTGTCCCACCCTCACAGCCCCTCCACTGGGAAGTGAAGCTGAAGCAGGTAATAGCTTGATCGAGGCCCCATAGCCAGTGTCTGCATCCTGTGTCTCTGAGCACGTGCCTTTGGCCCCTGAGCCTGCACGCTTGTGCCCCCAGCGCTGTCTGTGGCTACAGCACTGGGGATTTGCTCCGGGGTGACCAGCCATCCCTGCCACCTGAGGCTGAGAGCTGCAGTGCTAAAGCCAGGAAAGGTAAACAGGGGGAAGTATTTTAGTCTCTGCTGTTCACCAAATCCAGAGTCTTGTAGATGCTATGCTTTGTTCCAGGCAAAATATCATTCTGGGGTGAGCGTTTGGCTCAGTGATTAAGACACCACTGGCAATCCCCACATCCCATCTCAGAGTGCCTGGCTTGAGTTCCAGCCTGCTCTGATCCAGCTCCCTGCTAACGCACACCCTAGGGGGCAGCAGGTCATGGCACAAGTACTTGGGAGACTCAGATTGGCTAAGGGCTCCTGGCTTTGGTCTATCAGCCCTGGCTGTTGAGGGCATTTGGGGAGTGAACCAACCAGCAGATGGAAGTGCACGCGTACGCGCTCTCTCTCTCTCTCTCTCTCTGCCTTTGCAGCAAGAGTAAAAGTAAATCAGTACAAATTAAGAGAAAAAAATCACTTCTTGAAATTTGAATCCCAAATTAGATAAAGTAGAATTAAAGAGACTTTCCTATAAACTATAGTTAAGATTGGGGATTATTTTTGTATGTAGTGAGGAAGGGAGAGACAACTTGCATGAATAATTAAACCCTTTTACTCCTCATGTTCAATTTTCCTTTCTCCTTAACAGCAGAGGCCTTCTGCAAGTAGACACGTAGAATCTGGAGCCACTCTGGACTTCTAAGAAAATCCCACTGCTAGATACTTTGTTTTTTGTTTTTTAATTTATTTATTTATTTATTTGAAAGTCAGAGTCAAACAGAGAGAGAAGAAGCAGCAGAGAGAGAGACAGAGAGGTCTCCCATCCACTAGTTCACTCCCCAATTGGCTGCAACGGCCAGAGCTGTGCTGATCCAAAGCCAGAAGCCAGGAGCTTCTTCCATGTGGGTGCAGGGGCCCAAGGACTTGGGCCATCTTCTATGCTTTCCCAGGCCATAGCAAAGAGCTGGATGGGAAATGGAGCAGCCAGGACTTGAACCAGCGCCCGTATGGGATGCCGGCACTGCAGGCGGCAGCTTTACAGGCTACGCCACAGCGCTGGCCCCAGATACTTTGTTTTAAAATAAACAGACGTTGGAAATGGGTCTGTGCACTTGCCCCTCGCCTGTTCTCATCAGACCCACATCTACCAGAGTGCTCAGAGCATCAGCCAGCACAGGCTCAAAATCCAGCCCCTTCCCAGGGTCCGATCACACGTGAATCTCACTGAAATTCGTCATTCCTTCACACCAACCTCACAGCACTTGACAAGCCTCCCGAGGCCGAGGTGGGAGCAGCTTGCCTGAGAGGAATGATCAGGGCCAGGCCCTTGCCGCCCCTCTTTCCCCAGCAGGCCCTCACTACCTCCCCTCACCCCAGTCCACGCAGTCGCGTAGGTCCACCCGTCCAGCATCTTCCTCCTTTCTCCCTCTCACAGCTTTTAGCCCAAGCCCTCATTCCCCTGTCTCAGCAGCTGCCCCAGCTTCCTTCCTGGCCTCCCTGTCACTCGCCTTTCCAGAACATTCTCTGAACTTCTGCCACATCATCATTCCGAAACACAACCATTCCACACTAGGCTCTAACGGGCGATACCGCCACCACTGGCCTGATACAAGCTGAAGCCCGCGGCCCCAGCCCTGTGGCTCAGGGAAGCACAGCTGCTGGCCACGCAGCAGTCCCGTCACTGATGCCCACTTGAGTAGCAGGAGCCACGCCCCTCTTTGCCCTCTCCTCCCAAGGGAGCCCAGCTCCTTGTTTCTCAGCACTAAAAGGCAAGGAGGAAACTCATAGGCTCAGTGAAAGAATCTAAGTAAAAAGACTGCCTGCTGTGTGAAGCCATTTGTCTAAAAGCCTAGAAAATGCAGACACAATGTCCACAGTGACAGAGAACACATCCGTGGGTTGCCAGAGGAGCAGGGGTACCTGTGGAGGTGCCAGATGCATTGTTTTCAGTGCATTGGTGGTTTCTTGAGTGGATGCACATGTCAAAATTCATCAGACGGTGCATTTAAAACATGAGGAACTTAGAAAAGTTCATAGAAGATGGAATTGAAAGGATATTTATATCGGTGCAAAAAAATGGTTTTTTCCCTCTTTTATTTATCTGACAGACAGACATGGAGATAAAGAGCTTCCATCTGCTGGTTCACTCCCCAGATGCCTGCAGTGGCTGGGGCAGGGCCAAGGCCAAAGCTGGGAGCTGGTAACTCAGTCTAGGTCTCCCACATGGGTGTCACCTTGAGCCATCACCACTTCACAGCGTCTGCATTAGCAGGAAGCTGGACACAGGAGCAGGAGCCAGAAATCAGACCCATGGGCATCTTAACCACTAGGCAAAATACCACTTCTTAAAGTACTAAAAAAATGCTGAAATTGTGTATATGAGGGTCTTCAAAAAAATCCATCAGAAATGCAAATTATGAAAAAGCTGTGCATAGATTTTAAGATGTTTTGTACCAAAGTCAGCACCTTTTAATTCTGTTTTTCCACAAGCTTTTCTGAGGTTTCCTTATATCTTTTCATTCCTTTGCACATGTGCAGCTTAGTGTGTTTCAGCCACCCCTCGGGAAAGGCCAGTGCCCAGGTCCCACCCAGAGGGGATCCATGCGACTCCAGAGGTGGGGACCTTCCCAAGCTCCCAGTGGCCCCAGCACCCATCCCAGGCTGAGCACCATCGTGGGTGCCATGCCCCCTCTCTGCCTCTGCTTTCCCTCTGCCATCTCCAGGCCTGCCCCGGTACCTGCCTCCTGGCCCAACATGGTAGGTCTCCCAAGGTCAAGCTTCACTGCGCCCCCAGCTGCCCATCCTGTACTCCCAGGAGCATGACAGTGTCTCCACAGACCCTGTCCCCGAGGAGACAGAGTGATGGGCTGCTAGAGCATGGGGTTATCCCAAGAACTTGACCCTGCAAGGGAGGGCCTGGAGACAGAATGGTCCACAGCAGATTGGTTTCTACTGGGGCTCCAAATATGGAGTCTGCAGCAGGCACAGAGAGGGGAGGTCCTTCTAGCAGCCAAGCTGAGGGGAACTTGACGCTCTGCCCACTTGGACCCAGCCTCCTGTCCTCCAGAGCTCTGCAGGGAAGACAGTTGTGGGGTGCAGCTGGGTCCATGTTTAATGAGAAGTTGTTCTCCTCCAACCTCTTTCTTCATTCCAGTTGCTATAACAAAATGCCTTAAGACTGGGTCATTTAAAAAAAAAAGATTTATTTTATTTCAGAGGCAGAGTTACAAAGAGAGAGAGAGAAAGTTCTTCCAACGGCTGGTTCACTCCCCAAATACCACAACAGGTAGAGCTGAGCTGATCTGAAGCCAGGAGCCTTTTCCAGGTCTCCCACATGGTGCAGGGGCCCAAGAACGTGGGCCATCTTCCACTGCTCTCTCAAGCCATAGCAGTGAGTTGGATCAGAAGTGGAGCAGCGGGGACTCAAACTGGTGCCCGTATAGGATGCTGGTGCCGCAGTCTGAGGCTTAGCTCACTATGCCACAGCGCCAGCTCCAAGACCGACCAGGTCATTTACAAACAATAGAAATGTGTTTCTCACCATCTGGAGACTGCCAAGTCCAAGATCAAGATGCCACAGACGTGTTGCCTGATGAGGGCCTGACCCCTGCTGTGTCAATGGCCTTGTCTGACTTGTTCTCATGTGGCAGAGGGACAGGCACACTCCCCCAGGGCCTATTTTGTAAGGACACTGTTACAGTTGAAATAAGACTTGGCTCCTGGCACTGGCACTGTGGCGAAGCAGGTTAAAGCCCTGGCCTGCAGCACCACACCACCATTCTATATGGGTGTCGGTTCAAGTCCTGGCTGTTCTACTTCCTATCCAGCCCCCTGCTGATGGCCTGGGAAAGCAGTGGGAGATGGCCCAAGTCCTTGGGCCCCTGCACCCACATGGGAGATCTAGAAGAAGCTCCTGGCTCCTGGCTTCAGATCAGCTCGGCTCCAGCCATTGTGGCCACTTGGGGAGTGAACCATCGGATGGAAGACCTCTCTCTCTGTCTCTACCTCTCTATAACTCTGTCTTCAAATAAATAAAATAAATCTTAAAAAAAAAAAGATGCTTAAACTCCAAAGTCATGGACCAATGGTGCCAACAGGTAGAAGCTTGATCCAGTTAGAGTGTCTGGGTCACTGGGGTTTGCCCTTGGAAGGTGGCTTCTCAATCTGCTTCCCAGCTCAGTGCGGGGTCTTCCTCTGCCCCCACCAGCCCCCATCCCGGCAGACCCCATACTGATGGGGCCGTCTGGCCTTGGACTGTGAACCTGCAGAGCATGAGCCACGATAGGACTTCATCCTTCATCAGTAGCTTCTCTGAGCTGCATAACTCGGGCTCTAAATGATCCACGAAGCAGAGCCCTGGTGACCTAATGGCTCCCTAAGACCCCGCCCCTCAGGGCTATTGCACTGGGAAGTTAGGTTTCAGTACAGGAACTGTGGGGTAACACAAGCACTCGCCCCTCCCCCCACAGCGCTCCAAGGAAAAGTTCCATCAGCGCTGTAATGGTTGCCAGAGAGGGAGGAAATGTGCTGGACGTAGTCAGCAGTCCAACTCTGTGATCCCTCTGTGTTTCCCTCTGTGCATGTCACTGACAAAAACATTTGTGATTTCCACAGCAACACCAGATGCGGGAGAAGACCCCAAAGTGACCCGAGCCAAGTTCTTTATCCGGGATCTCTTTTTGGTAAGTAATTCTGTTAACCTTGGGTTTCCTCCCACGTTGAGTACTTAGCCTTTCATGATTGTCTTTAATCTTCCTCGGAACCGTGGCGGGGGAGAGAAGGGATGGTGCCTGCATTTCACAGCTGAGCCCCTAGAATTCAGAGAGCTCAGACCTCTCTCACACAAGGTCCCACAGCTCCCACGCAGCAGCACCTGCGTGGACCCACAGCCCTCTGGGAAACAGCACTTGGAGGAACAGACTTTGTCCCTTGGCTGTGTTTTCTGTGATGAGTACATAGCCTTCCTGCTCCATCCGAAGGCCCTACAGGCTAAAGGCAAAGGTTTGGAAAGGGGTGTCCTCAACTGCAGACATTTCCCCTTTTTTTCCTGATTTTTATTTCGAGATCATTGCAAAGCTGACCACCTGGGATAATTTCGCTTCGTTTTATCTGTTGGTCTACCTATACATATTTTCTTTTCTTCTGAGCAGCCTCTCGGTCATGGCTGGCTAGGAGCTTGTTTGTTTGTTTTAAAGATTTATTTTATTTATTTGAAAGAGTTACAGAGAGGTAGAGACAGAGAGAGGGTTCCTTCATCTGCTGGCTCACTCCCCAAATGACTGCAATGGCCAGAGCTGAGTCGATCTGAAACCAGGAACCAGGAGCTTCTTCCAGGTCTCCCACATGGGTGCAGGGGCCTAAGGACTTGGACCGTCTTCTACTGCTTTCCCAGGCCACAGCAGAGAGCTGGATCGGAAGTAGAGCAGCCAGGACTCGAATCAGCTCCCATATGGGATGCCGGCACTACAGGCCAGGGTTTTAACCTGCTGCGCCATAGCGCCAACTCCACTAGGAGTTCTTACCAGCTTGAAACTGGTAAGTGCCAAGGCACTCCCAAGGGCACGTCCCCAGGTGTGGACAGGCTGCTGATACCCGGAAGTGGTGAGCTCAGCCCCGGCTGCCCCAGGGACAGCCCCCAGGCTGGTAGTCTTGTCATGGGGGGCAGACCCTCCTGTCCGACCTTTCTCTACTTCTTCCCATCACAACCCTATAGTGGTAGCTGAGTCCTCTGTTGAGCTAGAAGGAAACTCAATCCAGGTCTCCCACATGAGTGGCAGGGACACAATTACTTTAGCCATCACCGCTGCCTTCCAGGGTCTGCATTTAGCCTGAGGCTGGAGTTGGGAGCCAGAACTGGGTATTGAACTCCAGCACTCCAGCAGGGGATGCGCAGGTCTTAATCTCAAGGCCAAATGCCCATCCCAGTTTCCAAGCCCCCTCACAGAACCCTGCGGTACTGGCAGTGGGATGGAAGCCTATGAATTTTGGAGGACACAATTCAGCCCCTAACAGCCCTCTCCACGCTGTCCCACTTGGCACATGCGCATGTCGCTGTAAGATGTGCTCATGGCTCGTGGCTGGTGATGCCCGACCCTGCCTGTCCCAGTTACCTGACAAGAGCAGTTTCCTCCCAGGCACTGGAAGCACTACACTGGTGACCAGGGGCCAGCCCTTAACAGACGCTGCAGTTCACCTGTGTAGAGGAGGAGGAGGGTGACCAGGGCAGTGTCCAGTACAGAACCCCGAGTCACACGTGCATGTTAAACTTTAATTATTAAAACTACATGAACTAAGGCCGGCGCCGCGGCTCACTAGGCTAATCCTCCGCCTAGCGGCGCCGGCACACCGGGTTCTAGTCCCGGTCGGGGCTCCGGATTCTGTCCCGGTTGCCCCTCTTCCAGGCCAGCCCTCTGCTGTGGCCAGGGAGTGCAGTGGAGGATGGCCCAGGTGCTTGGGCCCTGCACCCCATGGGAGACCAGGAAAAGCACCTGGCTCCTGGCTCCTGCCATCGGATCAGCGCGGTGCGCCGGCCGCAGCGCACCGGCCGCGGCGGCCATTGGAGGGTGAACCAACGGCAAAAAGGAAGACCTTTCTCTCTGTCTCTCTCTCTCTCACTGTCCACTCTGCCTGTCAAAAAATAAAAAAAAAAATAAAAAAAAAAAAAAAAAAAAAACTACATGAACTAAAAACACAGGGTCAGCCACTCATAGTGGCCACTGTATGGACAAGGCAGATAGAGGACATGTACATTATCGCAGAAAATTCTAGAACAGCACCCTGGTGCGGACCTTCCCTTTCTGGAGAGGTTTAACTTGGCTTCTCTCTGCAACTGCCGTTCACCTACACAAAGGTATGCAGAAAGTCCTTGGGAAAATGGAATGAAAAGATGTTTGGGGGAGAAAAAATAAAACTGTGGAAATCCATGCTGGTTTTTTGTAATAGGAATTTTCCATCAACTTTTTAAATATTTGTTTGTTTACTTGCTTATTTGAAAAGCAGAGTGGCAGAGAGAAAGGGAGGGACAGAGAGATACCTTCCATCTACTGGTTCACTCCCTAAATGACCAAAAGGCTGGGGCTGGGCCAAGCCAAAGCCAGGAGCTTGGCACTCCATCCGGGTCTCCCACGTGAATGGCAGGGGCCCATGCACTTGGGCCATCCTCTGCTGCCCTCCCAGGCCATTAGCAGGGAGCTGGATTGGAAGTGGAGCAGCTGGGACACATATGGGTTCTCATATGGGATGCAGCAGGCAGCTACTCAACACAGTGCCAGCCTCTCCATCTACTTTTTGAAAACCTCTCCTACGTATGGAGTTCAAGGTGTTTTGAGCCAAAATAGAGTTATACCTTAATTCCATCTTCCACAGACTTTTGGGAGTACCCTCTCTGTGTGCTGCGTCCCCAGCTCCACTGAGGCCCTGGGTACAGAGCTGGGCTGCGGGCTGTGGGGGGCCCGCGGGCAGTATGTCCAGTATGCAGATAGTCCCTACTGCTGAGTGCACTCCCGAGTGGACGAGCAGCCAGCCGGCCATCTCCAGCCCCCTCTAGCCTTGAGTGCCCGCTGGGCGAGGGGCTGGGGCTGTGTGTCCCTCAGCAGCCACTGTGTGTCTTGCAGAGGATCAGCACAGCCACGGGCGACGGCAAGCACTACTGCTACCCCCACTTCACCTGCGCCGTGGACACGGAGAACATCCGCCGCGTGTTCAACGACTGCCGCGACATCATCCAGCGGATGCACCTCAAGCAGTACGAACTCTTGTGAGACCCCGCCCCGCCCCACCGCGCCGCCCCCTGCTCCCTTCTACCCCACGGGTGGAGCGCCCCTGTGGACTGCGTGTCTGTCGCCCCATGCCACGGTAGGACGTAGTTTTTAGTGTCACCTGGCCACCGTCTGTCCCATCCTGGTACATCCCGTGTGTGACCGACCACCAAGCCTCCGGCTACCTCTGTGCCCCCTGACGCCAGGTTTGGTTCCGTAGCTTTCTGTTCTCACTGAGCACAGCCTGCCACAGGTTCCCTGTGGCTCACCGGTTTGTGTCACGGCAAATGCCCACTATGACAGGATTGACACTGCAGTGAAATCTCCCTGGGCCGGGGCTCCTTGTACTCACTCCCTCATCCACCGATCAGCAAGGAGAGTTGGTAGACAAGGAGAAAGCACACATGATTGCAAAGTATGTGTACAGTGCTGTGCACCATGACTGTCCCATCACCCTGCGCACACACACACACACACACACACACACACAAGGCTACAGGCTAACAGGTGGCCGGCCCTTCCGATCCACACCATCCAGGACTTAGGGTAGACCCCAAGGGATAGGGTGACAAGAAACCTTTTTCCATCACACTGACAGTGGCTGCCAGCTTCGGGCATTTGAATTAGAGTTACTTGGCAGAAAACCTGATAGAGTTAGCTGGCAGTTACCTGGTGGGCAGAAGATCTACCACACTTCCTCCTGCAAAAATGTGTCCCATCTAAAAATATTTCTCTGTACTTCCACAAAATTTAGGTGTAGTCTCCTTTCCCTTTTCTTTTCTTTTGTTGCTGGGTTCTTACATTGTACAGACCACAAGATGTAATATTCTTTTGTATCACTACTAAAGAAAAATCCTTGTAGATTTCCGTGCCTTGATTATGGCTATCCCTGTAAAAAGAAACGTGTTCTTGTTGTGCTCCACAGCTAGTGTCAATGTTACCTTTAAAAGGCAATGAATGATAGCTGTAGAATTTAGAGTATTTTTATCAGGTAGTACTTTATAAAATCCTCCTTCGTAAGAAAATGATAGAAATGGCACGTCCTGCCGCCACACCCTACCGACAACGGTGTGACGACGCCACAAGCTGCTGCAGCCACCTGCTTGCACTTCTCTGCGCTCAGCTGTACACACCTGAACTCGGCTCAAAGGCAAAACTGTCATCTCATCTTCCTTCAGAGAATCAGGGGTCTTCAGCCCTTTCAGACAATGTGTTTCTTGATTGCTTTGCTGGTTCAAGACTTCTTCAGGCCTCCTAGGGGACACAGGGCAGCCATTCCCTTAGTCAGAGCCTGGGGCACAAGCGCCATCAGACAAACATCAGATAGACACATGGGTGTCAATGTGTGCACCTGACCCAGAGGAAGAAGGGCAGTGTCAATGTACACCCAACATACATGGCTGTCCCGCACACATGTAGGATTTGCAAATGCAACCTCAAAAGTTAGGGCACACAGTACAAAACTAGATGCTTCACAGCCTGTCTATAGTCACAGCTTTGACAGTAGTTCCCTTAGGTCTAAAGCAATCCGTAAAGATGTCTGAAGTTAAATTCTCAATACAAATCCAGAAAATCACCCCACTAACTGCCTCTTAAACAGTTTAATACTTTTAAGTGCACTCTGTAAATGAGCATTTCGTGATCCTTTATAAATTCAGACTTAAATGCTGCTTCTCCATGAAAGGATGACAGCTTTACAAGCAGTCAGTACCACGTGTTCTCTTCATCAGTTTTCTTGTTCACAAAGCTCTTCACCGAACTGAGACATAAACATGATTTTTCATTCCCCTATACTTTCAAGGAAAATGAAGATGTATCCACATAAAAAAATGAGGTTACATATTGTTGTTCACATTATTACTTAATTCTCTACACCTCCTACTTAAATGGTTGAGTTTAAAAAATCCAGGTTGCAACTTTCTTGTGATCCCTGAGTCACTGAATTCAGATGTAACAACGCAGCCTCCTGGAGAGAGTTACGCGGCTCTGCAAGTCTGCCTCTGGCTCAGCAGGGAAGTCTGTGAAGACAGGATGTTGCTGCAAGGTGCACCTGTGTAGGGAGGCGGACGCTGGAGAATCACTGCACAGGGGACAGAAGCAAGCCCACTGCTCACGTGCACACATAACCCCGTGTGCGGCAGGGCTGCCAGGGGCCTTCCTGAGGAAGCAAGGACTGTGTTGTGCATGCAAGCTGTGGTTGTCAATAGATAGCATTTACGTACTGTACAGAAGCAACTTTGATTATTTTATAGAAATGAGGAAACAGATTTGTTGTAGAGTACATGTTCCATTTTTCTAGCATGAGAATAGTACATTTATCCTGCAGTCACTCACATCAGTGATGTAGGATTTCTAAGACGTGCATAAAGAAGGCCGACACTGGATTCTCGCCGTCCACTGGACTCTTAACGTGAGCTCTGCTGGAAGTTCTGTGTATTTGGCTTTGATGTTGATGGCTAGATGCAAAGATTGCCTGCTTTTCACCTCACCGTGTGCATTCTGATCAGGTGGCGACCAAAAAGAAAACGTGGGGCTAAAAGCTCAAAGTGGGCTAGGAGGAGGACCACGAGGAGGCCAGCTGCTCCACAGTACATGGACAGAACCGTGTCCTCATACGGGAGGTAGCACTTGGAGAGGGCATAATCGGAGGATGTTATGCTGCCCTGGAAAAGAAATTAATGGGAAGGTTATACTGCAGCAAGAACACCAGATACAGCTGGAACAGAGCCCCTTGACTTAGAAACCACAGAGGAAAGGATGCCTCTGGGGGTGGGGTCCCCCGGGTGAGGAGAAGAGGTCCCCTTGCCCGAGACTTTGGGGCCACAGTCTTAAGCCTGCACAAGTCACCACTGACCAACACAGGTGCTCACAAGAGAAGGAGGTCAGGGCTGTGGGTGCCTGGGGCAGCAGGTCTGGAAGGCTGACCTCTCCATTAAAAGTAGCCACTGGCACAGGAGGCTCCCACCTCACAGAGAGGGGACAGAGCTGCAGAGAGGCACCATGCAGGCCAAGGACCAAGGCCAGTGAGGAGTACCAGGCTGCTCCTGTGGCACCTGACTCTGAACCAAGCCATCGGTGTCCTAGAAATGCACGTGCCCAGGCGTCTCCACGGGCCTTGTTCTGCAGACACTTTTGTAGTGTGGGATGTCCGGGGTAGGGCAGTGGGGTGGCGGGGAGGGGGAGTATGTTCTTACTTACTTTGAATCTGAAAACATTAGGGCTTCCCGCCAACACCTCCTTTTATCAAGCACCTGACATTATGACCTGGTACAGAAACCCATAGCTAAAAGAAGGCAGCTGGCAGCTAGCATGTCAGGGCAAGGCTTGTTGAAGAAACATCTTTAACCCATGTGCAAAGGCTGTGGTGCCAGCACTGACTGCCAGGGCACTGGGCTCACTTGGGAAGGAAGAGAAGACATCGAGATAAGCTAAGGGGTAAATGATCCTGTTTCCTTAGGAAATGAAACACACACCCAGAGGGCGCTGCCCTCCCTAAAGGATAAAACCTCTTTGCAAGACGCGCCCACCCCTCACTCCCCACCTGCACCTGTGCAGCCCCAGGAACTGTGTATTGTTTATCTGTTCAGGGAGGGGGCGGGGCATCAAATTGTGTAGGGAGTGAAACTTCGTAATGGCTTTTGTATATTTTTACCGAAGGTAGCAATTCAATAGTTGAGTACTGTGTTGATTTCAATACTTATGAAAGCTTTCCAACAAAATAAACTTTCACATTACCATGATGAAGCTGGGGTTGTTTCTGTTCCTCCAGTTGAAAGACGGGACGCTGATCTCCGGGACGCCTCCCTGGTGGAGCACCTCGCAGGCGCTGTGCGTGTGGCCGCTCAGGACCAGGCGTGGCCGGAGCCACCACAGCAGCTGGGCAGCAAGGAGACACAAGGCAGCCATGAACGATCAGACCCCCCTACACACACACACACACACAGACACACACACACACAGGCGCCACTCCCACTGCCACTGTGAGACGAGGCCACTGGCTGGCACTTGGTTCAGTGAATTAAATACCCAGTCCTCACTAGGTCGCTGTCTTTGTTCCTTCAGATACTTGTTTACATTCAAAGGCAACTTCTGCCTCTTACAGTCTGCTCTTCCCCACATAGGTTTTTAACAATTCTTTACTCATTTTTTATAAAATCATTATACATTTATTTCATAAATATATTCTAGAAGTAAATTTTAGTTTTACTATATATAAATTTAACATATATGAAGGTACTTCAGAAAGTCTATGGGAAATGAAATTAAAAGGTAAGTTTATAGGCGCCGACACTGTGGTGTAGCGGGGTCAAGCCGCTGCCTGCAGTGCCGGCATCCCATATGGGCTCCAGTTCTAGTCCCGGCTGCTCCACTTCTGATCTGGCTCTCTGCTGTGGCCTGGGAAAGCAGTGAAAGATGGCCCAGGTCCTTGGGCTCTGTACCCATATGAGGGACCTGGAAGGGGCTCCTGGCTCCTGATTGGCGCAGCCGTTGTGGCCGTCTGGGGGGGTGGGCCCTCTCTCTGCCTCTTCCTCCCTGTGGCTCTGCCTTTCAAATAAATAAATAAATCTAAAATAAAATAAAAGTTTAAGGGGCAGGCGTTTGGCCTCCTGGTTAAGACACCCACATCTCACACCACCATTCCTGGGGTCACTCCCTCACTCGGCTCCTGACTCCAGCTTCCTGACCCTGAGTGGCAGCAATAATGGCTCAAGTAACTGGTTCCTGCCACCCCCGAGGGAGACCTGCCTTGAACTCCCAGCTCCCAGCTCCAGCCTGGCCACTGTAGGCATCTGGGGAGTTTGATACCAAAAAATCTAAAATCTACACATAGCTTTTTCATAATATGCGTTTTTATGGACTTTTTGAATACTCCTTATATGCATGGATTCCAATTTCTTTTGCATCAAACTGATTTTTTTTTTTTTCTGACAGGCAGAGTGGACAGTGAGAGAGAGAGACAGAAAGGTCTTCCTTTTGCCGTTGGTTCACCTTCCAATGGGCACCACGGCCGGCGTGCTGCGCTAATCCGAAGCCAGGAGCCAGGTGCTTCTCCTGGTCTCCCGTGTGGGTGCAGGGCCCAAGCACTTGGGCCATCCTCCACTGCACTCCCGGGCCACAGCAGAGAGCTGGCCTGGAAGAGGGGCAACCGGGACAGAATCCGGCGCCCTGACCGGGACTAGAACCCGGTGTGCCGGCGCCACAGGCAGAGGATTAGCCTATTGAGCCACAGCGCCGGCCCAAACTGATTTTTAATTCCATTTTCCATGACCTTTTTGATATAACCTCATATATTACAGAAATAAATAAGAACGTGCAAAAATAAATTTTTAAAAATGCACTTATTTTAACTAAGGCCTTAAAACATGACTCATCTGTATTTCCAAATACATTTTAAGTTTTAAGAAAGCTTTCAGTATGATAACTAACTGAAAGTATGATGAATAGCTGAGAATATATAGCCGACTAGAAATTAGAAAAGGGAACAAAGTGACTAAATGGAAACCTGAGATACTGTCATGACCTTCCCCAGCCTGCAGCTGTTAACTGTAAAAGCCATCTGCGGGCAACCATTCAGCCTGGGGGTTAACGTCCACATCCAGGGACCTGGGTTCAATTCCCGGCCCCAGCTCCTGACGCCAGCTTCCTGCTACTGCAGGCCCTGGGAGGCTGCAGTGACGGCTCAAGTAACTGAGTTCCTGCCACCCACAAGGGAGACCTGGGTTGAGTTCCTAGTCCCTGGCTTGGCCCTGCCGGGGACAGGGACCACTGTGGGCATCTGGGGAATGACACAGCAGATAGAAGCACTGTGTCTCTCAAATAAATACAGATGAAAGGACACCCTCATCTGCCCTAGGGAACACCCCTCCACCCCGTGCTGCTTGTGAAGCCACAGGAGGGGAGAGGGAGCCAGGGACCCGCGGTGGCGCCACTGCACAGGGCCGTACCTTTTGGGAAGCCTCCTGAGAAAGCACGTCGTACTTCTCCTTAAACGGGATGTCCCTTTCCTCTGGAGGGGCCGCGTCATCCCCAGAACAGTTAGCATCGCTTCTCCGATAGAGTGGATAATGCTGGCGGGGGTTTAAAAAGGTGTCAGGTGGGACTTGGCGGAACCCCGGGGGCTTGGCCTGGGCGTCGCTGCTCCCCTCTCCCCCCGCTCACCTGCAGGAGGATGGGGGCGGACGCAGGGAGCGGCTGCCCCGCTGCACAGTGGCTGGCTCCTTGTTCCTGCTGGCGAGAAGTCACCCCATAATGCGGCACAGCTGACACTCAGCACACGCTAGGGCAGGAAGTGGGAGCAGGAGGCCCCTTGGCACTCAGAGGTGGCCTACCTGTCGGGAGCAGTTCAGTTTGTGAGAGATGTCCATGAGCTCCTCTTCAGCTTTGGAGCAGATGGTACAGCCGTCCCCTTCCAGCGCCACACTGTTGACCATCACAAAACTGAGGCAGACGGGGGCAGGCAGAAGTCAGGCCACTGTGCTGTACGTGCGTGCCTCTCCCCACGCTCCCCATGCAGAGAAGACTAAGCGTGCACAGTGTGAAGAAACGAACCCACACAGTTTGAAATCCCAACAAGACTAACGCATTTTATGCATCATGGCTAACAAAACAGAAACAGTGCTACTGGGAGTTGAGGCCATGACATGGGAAAAAGGAGTTTTTAACCTTGACCTTGGGAGAAACCCCATTACAGAAGCTCTGAGGTTAGGCTGCCCCTCAGCTTAGCATCTAACCAGACCATGTGTCCTGGCGCAAGCTGGAACCTCTCCGTGCCTCCTCTGAGTGGCCTGGACACCGTAGCTGGGCACAGTGCTGAGTCAATGAAATGAACCAGCAGGTGCACGGAGCAAAGCCATGGAAGCACTCAGTATGCACCCAAACCTGTTCTCTCCCCATGAAGTCAACCACTGGGGGCTTCTGGTGATGGACACTCAGCAAGTAAGGCAGCAGGTGAGGTGCTGGTTAGGGCTAACAGGGTCTGGATAGTCCAAACCGAGGGTGTGACAACACCGGTGACAGTTATCTTCCACAGTCCCTTTACCTGGCTGGGTCTCTCATTGACTGCCACTAGAGATCCTTTTCTGTCCTTGCACCTGGGCACCAGAGGGGCACCTGTCAGTAAAGACTGCGTGAGATGTCACCAGTTTCACAGAAAACGAGCTGAGTCATCAAGTGATCTGGAACACGGTAATTGTGTCCAAAGTCTGACACGATCTGCTTAGCAGGAAGTAACTAGTATCTTGTGTGCATTATGACTCAGGCCGCAGGAGGGAGAGGCCTCCAGGTTCTTTCCAGAGAGGGTGTGAGCTGGCCACCGAGCCACACAGGTACAGGAAGGAAATGACTAACCGGAGCTCTCGTCCTGCTGCTACAACTAGGATCGGCACACCGTCTGGCCCACCGAAGCTCCAGAGATGGCCAGACCACGGTTAGGATGCTCTGGTCTAAAGGACAGGGATGGCACAGAGCCCTGGGCACACTCCACGCGCTGGCCACCCAGTCCCAGGACGCTGTATCTATGGAAGCCGCCTTTGTAAAGTGGAGTTAGGAGACTTCAAAGCTCCTTCTTTAAAAAGTTGGGCTGAAAAATGTGTGTGCACCCCCCAGAGCCAGAGCAGAGAGAAAGAGCAGGGCTCAGGGCGAGCAGAGGCATCCACAGGCATCATTTAAGGAAAACCAGGGTGCTTTAAGGTCTCCCCTCAACCATCGGCAAGTACAGCCTGAGGGACAGCAGCCCCAGATGATGGGCCAGGCCATGGAAGCAGGCATGGCAGTCACCTTCTAGAACTGAAGTTCCCAAGGACTCAAGGTGGTCATGAAAACTCACAAACAATACTCACTTAACTCCTTTCCAAGAAAACAGCATTTCACAGTTGAAAGCTCTCTCAAACCGTTTTACTTTGTATCTGTCATCCTATAATCAATTGGAAAAAGAAAGGTTTTTCACTCAAGCTATTTGGGGATTTCAGAGTTATCAGGGACACAGAAAGGACGCATCAGGATCTGAGTGTCACACCAGCAGTACCAGCGGGGGCTCCAGCTCAGCTTGGGGCCAGAAGCAAGTTACTTAATCTCCTGGACTTCAGGTCCCTCACTAGTACCGTTGGTAAAATAATAGGACTGAGGTGTCAGCGTTGTGCCCCAGCACGTTAAGCCAATGTTTGGTGATGTGATGCCAGCATTCCATGTCAGAGAGCCAATTTGAGTCCCAGCTGCTCTGTTTCTGATCCAGCTTCCTGCTAATGCACCTAGAAGACCAGGATGGGGTTCCTAGCTCCTGTTAGCCTGGCCCAGACCTGGCTGTTGAGAGCATTTGAGGAATGAGCCAACAGATGGAAGATATCTCTCTCTATAGAGATAGATAGATAGGTAGATAATCATTGTCATTTTGCCTTTCAAATAAATAAATAAATCTTTTTAAAAAAATACAAGACCTTGGGGCCAGCGCTGTGGCACAGCGGGTTAAAGCCCTGGCCTGAAGCGCCGGCATCTCATATGGGTGCCGGTTCTAGTCCAGGCTGCTCCTCTTCCAATCCAGCTCTCTGCTATGGCCTGGGAAAGCAATGAAAGATGACCCAAGTCCTTGGGACCCTGCACCCATGTGGGATACCCAGAAGAAGCTCCTGGCTCCTGGCTCCTGGCTTCGGATTGGCTCAGCTCTGGCAATTGCAACCATCTAGGGAGTGCACCAGTGGATGGAAGACCTCTCTGTCTCTACCTCTCTCTGTAACCCTGTCTTTCAAATAAATAAAATAAATTTTAAAAAAATACAAAACTATGGAAAAGATTAAATGAGTTAATATTTGGAAGTAAATAAGAATGAGCTGGCATGTTATAAGGATTGTAACACTATATACATGTTAGCCATTAAAGTATAAATGGTCTTTTCCAACTCCCCAAGAAAACTTTAGGCCATTAAATATACATTTCAAGTTAGATGCTTCCCAAAGGCATAATTCATTCATCCAGGGACCAGTATTGTGGCACAACTGGTTAAAGTCATTGCTTGTGACACAGGTTTGAGTCCTAGCTGCTCCTTTTTTTTTTTTTTTTTTTAAGATTTATTTGAAGGGCATCGTTACCAAGAGAAAGAGAAAGAGAGAGAGATATCTTCTATCCACTGGTTCACTCCCAAAATGGCCATAACAGCTGGAGCTGGACCAGTCCAAAGCCAGGAGCCAAGAACTTCTGGGTCTCTCATGTTGGTGCAGGGGCCCAAGGACTTGGGCCATCATCGGCTGCTTTTCCAGGCCATTAGCAGGGAACTGGATCAGAAGTGGAGCAGCCAGGTCTCAAATGAGCACCCATATGGGATGCCAGCACTGCAGGCAGTGGCTTTACCTGCTATGCCATAGCAATGGCCCCTGCTCCACTTCTGATCCAGCTCCCTGCTAATGTGCCTAGGAAAGCAGCAGAAGATGGCTCAAGTACCTGGGTCTCTGTACCCACATGGGAGACCCTGATGGAGTTTCAGGCTCCAGGCTTCTGCCTGGCCCAGCCCCCAGCCATTACAGCCACTTGGGGAGTGAACTAATAAATGGACAATCTCTCTCTGTGTCTCCCCCTCCCCAACCCACCCTGTAACTCTGACGTTAAATAAGTCTTTTTTTAAAAAAGAAATTCACTCATCCAGCAGGAAGTTGTAGAGGGTATATTATGTGCCAACAGTAATGATCCCTAAATTGCTTACATGTCCTTTTGAGGACTCAAAATTTCCTCAGTCCAGCACAAGCAAGGCTTTTGCCTTAAGTTTTCCCAGCAGGTTGAACAGGACAGCTAAGACTGTAGGGAGTGACGCTGGACTGAACCACTTACCTGTAGTGGAAGCCAATGTCATGGTTGCCAGCAACTACCTTCAGCTGCACATGACTTGGGTGTCGGAACATTTTCTGAAAGCGCTCCACATCATCCGCCCAGGCCTGGGGGCAAAAGGGTCACAGCTGAGAGCCAGGAAACCCTCTCTTCCCTGAGACTAACAAACATGATCCGTCATTTGATTTGAGAAGTTAATTCCCTGGTCCAAATCAGATGCTCATGAAGTGAATGCAGAACTCTGAATCTTGATGCAATCCTTATTTTCAGAGACTGCAGTTAAGATTTTAAATTATTTACTCAAATGCCAAATATAATTAAACAGTATCCTCTGCCAATCTTAAAATATTGACTGGCAGTCCCCCCAGTATGTCCCTATCATTCCAGGGCCCCCTGAGGAACATGGACCCCAGGTTGGGAACTGGTTCAGATCTGGATGTAGGAACAGGCCCTTAGGAAATACCAAGTGAGTGCTTCATGTGTTAACCAAGACAAGGGTGAGAACATTCTTCAGACAGCACTCTCCTGTGGCTACAGCAGTGGGAATGAGAACCAATGAGATGTGGGAGAAAGAAAGACAACATTTATTATAATAAATGCTTCATGATTATTCTGACATCTGCTGTTACCATTACAGCTTCATGGTTGTGTTGGCATCATCATTGTTTTTACAAACCTAAAAATATCAATTGGACAACCGCCCTAGGACAGGCAAAAGACCTCTGTTCTGAATAGTAAATCAACTTTACCCTCCAAGTTTCAGCACAAGCTAGGGAAATAAGATTCACTTAAAAAGGTTTCATTTCAATAAATAATATTTAAAGTTAGAACAACAGAAAATCAGAGTAACAAACTTAGAAAATCATAAATCCTTAATTTGCAAAAGCAGTATTTATATCTAACCTCATTTTAAAGCTGGTTGTTAGGGCTGGCCTGTGGCACAGCAGGTTAAGCTGCTACCTGTGACACCAGCATCCCATATGAGTGCCAGTTCAAGTCCTGGCGGCTCCACTACTGATCCAGCTCCCTTCTAATGTGCCTGGGAAGTGCTTGGGCTTCTGCCACCCACATGGGAGACCCAGATGGAGTTCCAGAGTCTTGGCTTCAGCTGGACCCAGCTCTGGCTGTTCCATTGCAGCCACTGGGGGAGTGAACCAGTGGACGGAAGACATTCTCTCTCCCTCTCTCTCTCTCTCTCTCAGTATGTGTGTGTGTGTGTGTGTGTGTATTTATGGTATGTATATATGTATATATATATATATTATAGGTATATATATTTATATATATATATATAACTCTGCCTTTCAAATAAAACTTCAAAAGTTCATGGAAAATGGAATTAAAAGATAAGTTTATTTAAGGAAAAGCTAGTTGCTTTTTAAATATAGCACTGCCATCATCTTATACTTAAATTTAGTTCTAGGTGTGACTAACATTACAACTCTGTGAAGAGTAGGTTCCTATCATATCTGGACAAAAAACTTCATTTGCACAGCTTTGGAACTGTCCTGAGAAATGCCAATGAAGTTGGGGCCAGCACTGCGGTGCAGGTTAACCTCCGCCAGTTCTAGTCCCAGCTGCTCCTCTCCCAATCCGGCTCTCTGCTGTGGCCTGGGAAAGCAGTGGAAGATGGGCCAAGTGCTTGGATCCCTGCACCCACATGGGAGACCAGAAGAAGCTCCTGGCTCCTGGCTTCGGATCAGCACAGCTCCAGGCTGTAGCGGCCATTTGGGGAGTGAAGCAACAGAAGGAAGATCTTTCTCTCTTGTCTCTCCCTCTCACTGTCTGTAACTCTACCTTTCAAAGAAAAGAAGAGAAGAGAAAAGCCAATGAATTTAAACATCCCTCAAATCAAATCACTTTAAAAAACATTGAGTGAAAGGGCTTTTTTTTTTTAAGACTTGTTTATTTATTTGAAAGGCAGAGGCCGGCGCCGTGGCTCAATAGGCTAATCCTCCACCTTGCGGCGCCGGCACACTGGGTTCTAGTCCCGGTCGGGGCGCCGGATTCTGTCCCGGTTGCCCCTCTTCCAGGCCAGCTCTCTGCTATGGCCAGGGAGTGCAGTGGAGGATGGCCCAGGTGCTTGGGCCCTGCACCCCATGGGAGACCAGGAAAAGCACCTGGATCCTGGCTCCTGCCATCGGATCAGCGCGGTGCGCCAGCTGCAGCGGCGGCCATTGGAGGGTGAACCAACGGCAAAGGAAGACCTTTCTCTCTCTGTCTCTCTCTCACTGTCCACTCTGCCTGTCAAAAAAAAAAAAAAAAAAGAAAGGCAGAGTTACAGAGAGGCAGAGAGACACAGAGAAAGATCTTCCATCTGCTGGTTCACTCCCCTGATGGCTACAATGGCCAGAGCTGCACTGATCCAAAGCCAGGAGCCAGGAGCTTCTTCTGGGCCTCACACATAGATGCGAGGGCCCAAGGACTTGGGCCATCTTCTACTGTCTTCCCAGGCCATAGCAGATAGCCGGACCGGAAGTGGAGCAGCTAGGACTCGAACCAGTGCCCGTATGGGATGCCAGTACTGCAGGCACAGCGCCAGCTCCAGGGCATTTTTAACTAAGCAGCAAAAATAGCTCTTTTCTCATCCATTCCAGGAAGGGAGTGAGCAGAGCCTGCTGACAGCTCGCATGAGGGCAGCCTTCCTCTTTGCCAGGCTCAGGGGTCTTGGTCCCACTAGGGGCATGGGAGTCTCATATCAAGTCCCCATGGCTCCTTCCACCCCTCTCACTCGGGAGAAAAGAAATTGGAAGAGAGCAAGTGACTTGTGTAGCACCTACACCTACTCTATAATGTGGGTGATGGCTGAAATAGCACCCCCCCGTCTGTTTTTCCCTTTCCCAAGAGATTCACAGGCAGGTGCATTCCAGCCAAATGCTGTCTGGTCAATCTACATGTTTCCTACATAGACAAAGACTGGCCAGTCTACTAAGGCATCAGACACAAACCCTAATAATCTTCATGATAGTCTACATGCAGTTAATGGAAGTGCTAAGCAAAACTGCCACCCAATCCAATACCATTTCAGGGGCTCTCTGGCAGCCTGTGAGAATGAGCCCTCAAAACAAGTTTAGCATACCTGGAAGGGCAGAGTCCTACCTGGGGCATGCTCCACTTCCCTTCATCAAAGATGTCCCCTAGAATGAAGACCACTTCCGGCTGCAGCAACCACAGAGCTGTCTGGAAGGCTCTCTCCATTTGCCATTCCCTGGAGGCCAACAGGAGACAACGGGGTGTCAGAAGGGGATTGTCAAGTCTGTTCCTTGGGTAGAGGACATTTAAGAAGTGAACTACATGGTCCCGTTCTTCTTCTACAACCCCATTCTTGCTCCTGCACCTGCTGCTTGGAAGGACCCAGGAGTCTGTATCTGATTCAACATGGAAAAGGAAGGCACCCAAGAAGAATCAAGCTGCCCCCCCTACACACCCCTACACCTCTCAAAGGCCAAATTCTGCTACAGGGTGTCCAGAATCGGGCCCCCCACTACACCTAAAGCGATCACTCCACCAAGAGAGCTCCAGGAACCCAAGAGCACTCGATGCAGCTCCAGGGATGCCCACGTGAGCCTGATCCTGCACCACTCCCAGGGAACAATGGTGTCTAGCTTAGGTCTCACCTCCCTTGTTTCAGAGTTAGGAGGAGACAACAAAAGAAACAGACTAGTCAACATCAAAACAGTAAATCCTGTAGATTTCTGGACACCCAGGAAGTCCTCAAAAAATTCACCGGAAATGCATATTATGAAAAAACTATGAATAGGTTTCAAACTTTTTTTTTTGCACCAAAATACACTTATCTTTTTATTCCATTTCATCCATGAGCTTTTTGAAGTCTCCCATATAAATAATCACCCGAGAAGTGAGAGAAGCAAACAAAAGAACCTGGGGTATGCAGCTTGACACATAGTGGCTTCATACCCAATGCCACCTGCTGAGCCACTCACTGGGTGGCCATAGAACACTGCCTACTCTGTCCCAGGTTCTTTGTTAGCAACAGGAAACAGAAAAGCTCCTTCCACAACATGGTTATGAGATTAAATAAAACAGTGGCTGTAAAGTGCCCAGCACTGCACACCTCCCAGCCCTCCCTCCTGCCCTCCTGTCTCCATAACCAACACCCATCTACGTCATTTCCTAAGGACTCCAAGATGGGCCCTCCTTTTGACCACACACTCCTGGCTGTTACATCTAGGGTACAGAAATAGGGGAAGATGGGGCAGCATTGTGGCACAGCAGATTAAGCTGCAATTTGGGGTGCTGGCATCCCATACTGGAGCAGCAGTTCGAGTTCCAGCCACTCTGCTTCCAGTCCAGCTTCCTGCTAACGTGCTTGGGAAGGCAGCAGATGATGGCCCAAGAGCTTGCGCTTTTGCCAGCCATGTGGGAGACCCAGATGAAGTTCCTGGCTCCTGGCGCAGACCTGACTTTTACAGCCATTTGGGAAGTAAACCAGTAGAAGGAAGATCTGTGTGTGTGCATGTGGTGTGTGTGTGTGTGTGTGTGTGTGTGTGTCTGTGTGTATGACTCTGCCTTTCAAATAAAGGTTGGGGGAGGGGAGAAAGGGGAAGAAAGGGAGAGGACAAAGAAGAGGAAAACAGGAGGAGGCAAAGGACGGGAGGGAACGGAGGGAGGGATAGAAAGAAGCAGAGAAGGAAGGGAGGAAAGACGAAAAGGAGGGGGAATGTTTTAAAAAGGAAAAAAAAAATGTTCCTAGAAAAACCTTTGTGGTTCCTGTGGGAAAAACAGACATGATGTGCTGGGGCAGACTGGACAGACAGGCCCCAAGCCCTCCTCAGGGAGATGGCCACAGCCTCTGCCTGTCTCCTGTGCCCCGAGGAGACAACACACAAGGCGCTCAGAACTACACAACAGCAAGGCTGAGGGAGTAACCAGTCCAGCTCTTTGTCATCGCCCTGCCTCGTGGTCTTCCCACGGCTGGGGGGCTGCTTGTATCAACCCACATACAAACAAGGAGGTGGCTGCTCAGAGGGGCCCTAGAAGCTCAACCAAGGTCACAGAGCTAATCAGTGGCCCAAATCTGACTCTTCAATCACAGGGCCCCCTATGTGACAATGTTCAGTAAACAGGAAGTTCCAGAAGTCCAATGCCCCAAATGCCCTTCTTGGAAAGGACGTTACACCTGCCCTGTGGGCACAGGCAATATATCAGGATTCTTACCTTCGTAATTTGTCAAACCAGTGGCCAGTTACCTCCCCAAGCAAGTGAGTGTCGGCCAGAAACATGGCCCTCAGCACAGGATCAAGAGTCTGTCGTGCCTGGTCACGGGCTCGAGTTTTCACCTCAGGCCAATTACACCGAAAGATCACCAAGTAATAGACCAAAAACTCACAAAAGAAAAGCACAGCCAAGATAATGGCTGTGAGTTTCAAAAGCAATGAGCTTCTCCTCTTTAAGAGATGAAAAGTCAGTCTTCCAAGCCCCCATCTGATCATGGCCATTTCGAGTCCTCAGCAACCAAGAGTCAAAAGTCCACCAGGAATTCGGTGTGGAAAGCTGTGGCGCTCCGGGGGTGCATGTGGGGTCCAGGTCTCGGCTGTGTACCTACGGGGCAAAGGGAGACAACTGAGTTATGCTCCTCAGTAATTCCAACATCACTGCCTCCTACTATTAAGAACTTAAAGAGCTACAGAACCCTTCCTACATTCCACATGCGGTAGTTGTCTTGTGCTTCTGCAAGAATAACAGACCAAATGACTAATAAGAGAACCAACTAGCCCCTTGGAGGTCTCTGTACCTCCACAGAGAATGACCCCACAGAGACAACCAAGCTCTCCTACACTCCACAAATCATCAGAAGAAAACACTCAGAGGGATGAGTGTTTGGGTGGGAAGACAGTGTGGGAAAATGTGACTAACATGCTAGTCACTGGATGCCCAAAAGGAGTCACCATCACACCTGTATGGCTTTAAACATTCACAGGTTGGGGCGGGCATCTGGGCACAGCCGTTGAGATGCAGCTTTGGGATACCCGCACCCACATCAGAGGGTCTGGGTTCAAGTCCCGGCTCTGCTCTCCATTTCAGGTTCTGCTAATGTGCACTCTGAGAGGCAGCAGGTGCTGACTCAAGTACTTGGGTTCCTGTTACCCACATGGGAAACCTGGATTGAGTTTCAGGCTCCTGGCTTCGGACGGGCCCAGTCCAAGGTGTTGCAAATATTTCAGGAATGAACCAGCAGAGGGATGTCTCTCCCAGACCCCTCCCCTGCCTTTTAAATAACAGGTCAATTAAAATTTTTAATTATATCTTATTTTTATAAAAAACCAAGAGGTTCATAAGCCCAGGGTAATGTGTGGCTCTGGGTGTTTTCATCACTGTTCTCCGCTGCTTTCCCCCAAACCAAGTGAATCTTTGCAGATAATGTGCACTGAAGACCCAAGCGATTCATTCCACACTGGATGCAGGTCAGGAGCTGACGAAGCCACTCTCTACCAGTGTGAATACTGAATGCTGCAACCAGATTAGATGTTTCCAGAAAAATGGGATTTTCTCTGCAAATTAGGGTTGGAACTTGGGATGGCCTGGTTTTTTTTTTTTTTTTTAACTATTTACTTGAGAAGCAGAGTTACAGAGAGAGGGAGAGACAGAGAGAAAGGTCTTCCACCTGCTGGTTCACTCCCCAAATGGCCGCAACGGCCAGAGCTGGGTCAATACAATGCAGGTACAGGAGCCCAAGCAATTGGACCATCTTCTACTGCTTTCCCAGGCCATAGCAGAGAGCTGGGTCAGAAGTGGGGCAGCCGGGACTTGAACTGGCACCCATATGGGATGCTGGCACTGCAGGCAGAGGCTTAGCCCACTACACCACGGCACCGGCCCTAGGACACCTTCTTTTATAGGACATTTCCATGCAGTGACATCTCTATGGAAACTGCTTATGGATTTCTCCTGACTATCAGATGAATGCTGCATCCTATAAGAAAGCACCTATTTTTTAAACACCCGAAGAGAAAAACTGGTAAAAGGCTGCCCTGAGACGGCCTGTGGAAGGTGGAGCTCCACTCACTCTGCTGAGCACAGACTCTACTCACCCGTCTACTCCCCACCCTGGAGGCTACAGACAGTTCAGCTGTCAGACAAGCCTCTGAAGGCTCACAGGGCCGAGGCGGGGGCAGTGACCAGAGACCCTACCAGAGCCAAGAAAGAAAATCCTGTTCAGGGAGATGACTTTCTAACACAAATCCAGGACTTCACATGGTTCATGATCAATCTTGCTTCCTTTTGTTTGTTTGCTCATTTGCTTATTTGTTTGTGTTTGGTTTGGTCTTCGAGAGGCAAAGAGACAGAGAGGAGAGAAACAGCAAGAGACAGGGGGCTCCCATCTAGTGGTTCACTTTCCAGATGCCTACAAAAGCCAGGGATGAGCCAGACCAAAACCAGCAGCCAGAAACACACTCCAAGTGTCCCACGGGGGTGGCAGGGACCCACCTACTTAAGCATCACCTGCTGCCTCCCAGGATCTGCATCAGCAGGAAGCTGGAGGCAGGGACCAGAGCCAGACATCAAACTCAGGTACTCCAGTGTGGGACGTAGGCATCGTAACTGCTAGGCTAAACTCTCAACCTCATTTCTGTAACGTCTAAAATAATCTCTGAAAAATCCAGCCTTCAGAATGGTTGAAATTTACATGGAAAAATTAAGACTAAATCTCGGCCGGCGTCGTGGCTCACTAGGCTAATCCTCTGCCTGCGGCACTGGCACACCAGGTTCTAGACCTGGTCAGGGCGCCAGATTGTGTCCCGGTTGCCCCCCTTCCAGTCCAGCTCTCTGCTGTGGCCCGGGAGTGCAGTGGAGGATGGCCCAAGTTCTTGGGCCCTGCACCCGCATGGGAGACCAGGAGGAAGCACCTGGCTCCTGGCTTTGGATCGGCGCAGCACACCAGTTGTAGTGGCCACTTGTGGGGTGAACCAATGGAAAAAGGAAGACCTTTCTCTTTGTCTCTCTCTAACTCTGCCTGTCAAAAAAAAAGACTAAATTTCAGTCCCTATCAAAGTGGCTGGCTTACTTCACAGTGGTGTGCCATGATAAGCCCCCACTAAGATAAGGAAACATGAAAACCTTACCCAAATAAAAATAACTAGGGTGAATGAACAAGTGCTTGGAACCATTATGCAAAGTTTAAAACTTAACTGCAGGATTGGAAATACCTTCAGAAACGGATACCTGAGACAAGCTCTCCTTGACTGGCATGGAGCCTTGGTGATTATATGCTATACGTAAGTCCTCACTCCCCTAGCTTTCCAGAAGGAGCTGGAATGACAGATGGTGCAAAACCCACGCCCTGGAGACTGTGCCCATCTTCATCACGCAAATGGCAATAGGTGAACCAGTACTTGGTGAAAGAGGGAGCAGTAAGCAAGCGCTAGGTTTTTGAAGGGTGCCCTTTCAGAGACAGGACCAACCAGCCTTCCATGTAGACTGGAATCAGCTGTCCCCACTGCCCTTGCTGGCATTCTCAGAAAACCCACAGTCTGGGGCAGGCTTTGTGGGGCAGCAGGTGGAGCCACCACCTGAGAGAGCTGCATCCCATAGAGGAATGCTGGTTCGATTCCTGGGTACTCTACGTCCCATCCAGTTTCTTCCTGGTGCACCTGGGAAGGCAGCAGATGATGGCTCAAGTCCGTGGGCCGCTTCTACTCACATGGGAGACACAAATGGATTTCCTGGCTCCTGGCTTCAGCCTGTTTCACCCTAGCCCATATCTGGCTTTTGTGGGCATTTGGGGAGTGAACCAGTAGATGAAAGATTAATATCTCTCTTTTTTTCTCTCTCTGTCTCTCCTCTCTCAATCACTCTGCCTTTCAAATAAATAGATCTTTAAAAGTAAAAAGAAGGGCCAGCGCTGTGGCATAGGGGGTAAAGCTACCACCTGCAGTGCCGGCATCCCATTTGGGCACCAGTTCGAGACCCAGCTGCTCCACTTCCAACCCAGCTCCCTGATGATGTGCCTTGGAAAGCAGCAGAGGATGGCCCAAGTGCTTAGGCCCCTGCACCCACAAGGGAGTCCTGGAAGAAGCTCCTGGCTCCTGGCTTCAGATCAACCCAGCTTCCACTGTTGCGGCCATTTGGGGAGTGAACCAGTGGATGGAAGACCTCTCTCTATCTCTGCCTCTCCTTCTCTCTCTCTCTCTCTCTCTCTCTCTCCTATGCCTCTCTATAACTCTACTTTTCAAATAAATCTTAAAAAAAAAAAGGAAAAATAAAAGTACTCTAAGCAGCAGGCCCCAGACCATCAGTGTCACATGCTAGACTTTATTTTCTTTACCAAGAACTTCCTCCTCACACCTGTCTTCTCTAAAGTCAAACCACACTGCCACGATAATCAGAATCAGCAGCTACTTTACCTTCCAACCAGGGACACCTTTGAGAGTGAAAGTGGCACCAACAGTAAGAGGCCAGGACTGGCCTAGGAGGTCAGCCCTGGAATGTGTGGAGGAGGAGGCAATGCTGCCTGCTGACATGCAGCTTATCACTAATCAAACTCTGTCTTTTTAATTCTTTAACATATTTATTTTATTTTTTTGAAAGGCAAAGATACAGAGAGAGGGAGACAGAATGAGAGATTCCATCCACTGGTTCACTCCCCAAATGCCTACAACAGCCAGGCCAAAACCAGGAGCCAGAAACTCTCTCTGGGTCTCTCATGTGGATGGCAGAGACTCAACTGCTTGAGCCATCACCTGCTGCCTACCAGGAAGCAGGAGTCAGGAATGGTGCTGGGTCTCTAACCCAGGCACCCTAAGAAGGGACATGGGCATCCTAATCAGTGTCTCGAGCACTGCGCCAACCTTCTGTCCCTGTGATCAAACTTTAGCATGGTCACACAGCTGTCAGTAAACAGGCACCTGAGTGGTTCAGAGCATGGATCGGCTACCTAGCTGACACTCATAAAGACAAAGGAGAGGCAGGTGCTGTGGCGCAGCGGTTAAGCCACCACTTGGCACACCTGTTTCCCCTATCAGAGCGGCAGTTCCAGTCCTGGCTATTCTGCTGTGATCCAGCTCCTTGGGAAGCAGCAAATGATGGCTCAGGTACATGAATTCCTACCACCCTCATGGGAAACCTGGATGGAGTTCCTGGCTTTCAGAATCAGCCTGACCCAGCCCCAGGTGTACAGGCATTTTTTGAGTGGACCAGCAGCTAGATGATCTTTCTTTCTCTCCCTCTCAAATACATACACAGATACTCTAAGGTATAATGAATATGTTCCTTAAGACTCTCCAATGAGGGGCGGGGAGCATTGTGGTATAGCAAGTTAAACCGCCACCTGTGATGCCAGCATCCCATGTGAGCACCTGTTCCTGTTCCAGCTGCTTCACTTCCCAATCCAGCTCCCTGCTAATGGCCTGAAAAAGCAGCAGAAGATGGCCCAAATGTTTGGGCCCCTGCCATCCACATGGGAGACCCGGATGAAGCTCCTGGTTCCTGGTTTTGGCCTGGCCCAGTGCTGGCCATTGTGGCCATTGTGGCCATCTGGGGAGTGAACCAGGGGATGGTCTCTGCCTCTGCCTCTCTAATTCTGACTTTCAAATAAATAAATA